TTTTTTAGGTTAAATCTCCAACTTTGTGTGACCATCTATCATCTCTTCAATGTAAGTTTATTGCAGGAGGATCAAAATCAACTTTCTTTATTACAAACAAAGGTAAGCTTTATAGTTGTGGGGAGTCTTCATTTGGAAAGTTAGGTATTGGAGACATAACTGGTAATGTTACTAGTCCACGCCTTGTTACTGGACTTAACCAACTAATAGTAACAAAAGTTTCAGTCCATTCTGGAGGAAACCATGTAATGGCTTTAACATCAGATGGATTAGCATTTTCATGGGGTGATGGAGAAAATGGACAACTTGGTCATGGAAATCTGATGTAAGTTTCAAATGTTTTGAACAATTTGTTTAATCTTACCTAAGCTAATCTTTCTTATTTCAAATTTTAGGTCCTGCAGTAAGCCACATCTAATTGAAGCTTTTGTCGGCAAAATTGTGACTGATATTTCGTGTGGGAGTGCTCACTCTGCTGCTATTGTTGAAAACAAATATCTGTACACTTGGGGTCTTGGTGATTTTGGTCGTCTAGGACATGGGGACGAGGAGACAATTTTACAACCAAAGTTTGTGAGTTTAGGATTGAATTTATAAGCTTGTATAAAAAGATATTTTTATATGAAATTATAAATTGAAAATACTTAAAACAAATTACTTTAAAATACTTTTAAAGTAAATTGTTTGGCAAAAGCAACAAAATGCCATGTTGTAAATATTTTTACTGAATTCTTTTTTGTTTAAGAAATCTTTGAATGTTTAATCCTTTTAATGGTGTTTAAACGCCCTCTAATAATGGTGTTTAAACCCCCTTTAATAATGGTGTTTAAACCCCCTTTAATAATGGTGTTTAAACCCCCTTTAATAATGGTGTTTTTTAGTTAAAGAAAAGTTAATTTTTAAGTTAATTTTCAAAATATATATTACTAATTTGTAGTTTGAAAAGTAACTTTTTTAGTTACATTTTAAAAGTACAAAATTGCAGTTTTAAATATATAAATACATATTTAAATATTTTGGTTATGGTAAAAAACACCAACTATAGTCTTTCACATAAAATAGGGTGCCCCCAAAAACAACATTTTTGGGATAAAAAAAGCTGTTTTGGAGCCATCTGAATGTCCCCTTTACCTATAAATTTGTTCTGTATTACTAAACAATGCTTATATAATATCTTTTAAAAATAAATGCCTTAATTTTTTAATTTTATACTGCTAGGTAAATTCTAAAAAAAACTTTATGACATAATCTAGTGTTACTTTTACTTTCTATGAAGTAATTCAGTGTTTCCTTACTTAAAAACTAGACTTGGTTAGGAAGCGGGTGCGATCGCACTAGATAACTGACCACGTAAGTAATATTTAGTTGCGAAAAACCGTTCAGATTTTTTAGTCATTTTGAGAACTTTTAAGTTCATGTATGTTTCCTTGTTTGTCTGCAAAATAATAATTAAGTTCATTATTTTATCAGAAATTTTAAAATATTATGTTTTATGGACATACATAGAAACATACATTAACGTGAATGCTCTCAAACATCTATGTGCAGAAAAATAATATTCTTGAACACAAAAAACCCACCAAATCTACAAAATGTTCTATAGTATTCTGTTGAAATATTTTTTTAAATTGTATTGTTTGAGTTTTGTTATGTTTTCGTTAAGATTTCTAGCATAAATTGTTTTAAGAATATACTATCAAACGAACTATTATTTTTCTACTAACTTTATGTATGTATATTTTATTCAAATGTAATCTTTTAAAGCAATTTGTGCGATTGATTTTGTAAACAAAAATACTTTCAATAAAAACTGCATTTTCAATGAAATTATTAATAATCATCAAAGTTAATACAAATAATTTTAAATAACCACCAATCCATTTTCCTCAGTGCTGGGGGCTGCATTATTTTGGTGGTCTTTTTTATGTCCCACAGCATAAAAATGACAAAAAAAAATACTGAATGGTCCTCTTGACTATTTCGCGGCCCCTAACATTGAGAGTCCCGGGGCTATAGCCTTTTTATCCCCCCCATCCTCCTAAAATTAGCACTGGAAATAAGATATACGTATATAAATAAAAATTATATATACTCTTTGATACATCGAAGAATGTTTGTTTCCTTATTAAGCAATCATTAATAGTAAGTTGTTACTTTATATAAAAAATGTCGCTTAATTTTATAAAGAAAATTATAAAAAATGATGTTTCAAAAATATTTGCTCTAATCGTATTTATTTTGCTTTAAGTTTTTTTGCATTGAAAGCTATTTTTAACTGTCTCTCATTGGTCCAGTTAATCTTAATGCGCTTTTTTGTTTGTTTTTGAAATGTTCTTAAATTGACTAAAAAATCTGGCCAGTTTTTTGTAACTAAATATTATTTCCATGGTCAATAATCGAGCGATCGCTCCCGTTTCCCGACCAAGCCTGCTTTAAAACACATTTAGGTGTTTGAAAAGTTTAAAAAAAATTAGTTTTAATAGTTTACTATAAAATATGGTTTCAAAAAATGTTTTTTTGAAGTTTTATAAACAGGAATAGTCTAATTTTTAGGTTACCCATTTTCTTGGTTACAATGTGGTCCAAGTGTCATGTGGAAGCAGAGATGCTCAAACTGTATGCATTACTGATGATGATAAAGTATGGTCTTGGGGTGATGGAGATTTTGGTAAATTGGGTCGAGGTGGCAGTGAGAGGTGTTTGATACCAGTGGAAGTAGAGCAACTGCGAGGATTGCAAATTTGCAAAATTCTATGTGGAGCTCAATTTACTGTTGCACTAACAAAAACTGGAACGGTGTGGACTTGGTAAATTGATTTTAACATATTGTTTTATAATTTGTTTGTTGTTTTACACAATGTCATAAAACAAAATTTTCCTTTACCTAATAAATATAGAAATAAAATTAAATAATGTTAATAATACTAAAATTATTATTAAACTGATGTATTCCCAAACTACTGCTAGGTAAAGGCTAAAACAACTAAGCATTCTAAAAAGTTTATTACTTGTTATATCAGTTAAAAAAAAAAAAAAATTATTTTATTGTATGTAAACATTTGCTCTCCTAAAAACAATTTTTAAAATTTCTAATTAAGAATGTTATATTTATTTATTTTACATATTATGAAAGGATCTTTTATTTATTTTACATAGTAATATAAAGTTTCTATTATAATAGTGAGGTGGGGGGGGGGGGGGGGAGGGAGGTGTCCAAAATTCTATATTTTTTGTTTAACCTGTTATTTTTAATTAATTTTTTAGAAAAGTTTAAAAAACAAAGTTTTTTTTTTTTTTTTTTTTTTTTTTTTTTTTGTGGTTGGCCTTCTACTTCTGTTTTTAACATTTTAAAGATATTAAAAACTAACCCTGACAACAACAACAGGATTTTGTTTAGTTTAACAACTTTAAAAAAAATTTGTTAAACTAAGCAAAATCCACAAAAAGTTATTTTGGAGCCCTCTATCCTCCCCTTCCCTCTTCCTCCTCTTTCTTGTGATAACGTAACTATAAAGTTTTTAACTTTTTTCTTCAGGGGTAAAGGTGATTTTTATAGACTTGGCCATGGTACTGATATTCATGTTAGACAGCCAAAATTAGTAGAAGGTTTGCGAGGGAAGCATGTCATTGATATAGCTGTTGGTGCTTTGCACTGTCTAGCTGTTACTCAAGATGGTGAGGTACATGAAGTTATAAGTTTTACTTGGAAAAATTAAAATTTCAGTTCAGAAGATAATTGCCTTTTTTTAATATTGTTATTTTTGTTCACTTTTTTAGAGTTTATGTTAAGAAAATTAGATCAAATGCAAAAAAATTTTGGAAATGTTTTTTTAGTATTTGTCATGTTTAAACCTAAAATATTTTGAGTTCATTATAAATTTAATTTGAATTTATAAACATATTTTATTTTAGTAGTGTTAGAACTGCATTTTGACTTTAGCATTACTTAACCAACCATGTTTTACAGTTATTTTCATGTTTCACATCGACCATTATTTTACACACTAACTATCAGGTTACACACCATAGATCATGTTACTTGCCAACCATTATATTACTTGCCTATAATCATATAAAATATTGCATTACTAAGCATCGAGTCTCACACTAACCATCACATTACGTTACTTACTAAGCATCATGTCTCACACTAACCATCACATTACTTCCCAACCATTATATTATTTATCATCATGAATTTATCTGTTAAGTTTACAACAAAATATTATGTAATTATGCTGTAACAAAATATTATGTGATTATCTTTGGTCAAATGGCAGAAAATATGACTTGAACAAGGGTTATTGAAATCAAACAACTCTACATCATTGTTTTTTGTGTGTCAGAGTTTATTTCCTTACTTATTCTTATTTTTATGACAACTGTATTGTTTTGTGTTTGTTTATTAAAGGGTAAAAGTTTTATTTTTTCAATTTTTATTTTTTATTTCTACTTCACTCCCCTTTTTTGACAAAATAACTTTGAAACACTAGTTTGGTGAGTAATCTTGCTTTACAAAAAAGGTAAGCATGAGCACACACACAAAAAACATGGTTCTACCAAAAGTATAGTAGAGTTTGACTGACAAGCACTGGATTAATACTGCTAATTATTTAAATTTAATTATTTAGGTTTTTTCTTGGGGAGATAATGACCATGGACAACTAGGCACTGGTGAGACTGATGTAAAGAAGGTTCCAAACCTGATAACAGGATTGCATAATCATAGAATAAAGTATGTTGCATGTGGTTCTTCACACAGTATTGCTTGGACAGAAATCACCACTTCAGCTTGTATTATTGATAAGCCACTTTCTTTTGAAGTAAATTATGATCCAATGGCAACCAATTTAGTTAAAGTAAAGGAAAATGATGAGGTATTTGTTTCTGGCTTATCTAAGTTTCTCAAAGAACAACGACCTCCTCTAATAAGATCAGTTATGCAAATAAATTCAATTTCATTGAAAGAAGAAGTTTTAAAAAATATAATGTACGCATTAGAAATATTGCTTGCGCGATCTATTTTATGCAAGTTAATGGAACATTCAGATGGTTTCTTGAACAGACACTATACTAATGAAGAGGATTACATCAGTCAAATTTTAAAACTTTATAAACTTGGTCTTTGTGGACATTTAACTAAGAAAAATTTGTTGATTATTGAATCTTATTTAAAGAAAGAATGCTCAAAAAGTGTAAAGGTGAGTGTTTAAACTACATTTTGAAGTTCTAAACAGGTTTTAAACAGGTCCTAATTTTTATATGACTATTTCTTCCAGTTATGTAAATATTTGGTTGATGTTTGTATACATGAGCTTGATGAAAAACACAGGCAGTCTGTTTTAATACAAGATAAATATAAACCAATTATTCAAGAGAGTCCGCATCCTTACAATGGTGCTCCTGGAGCTTTGCTTCTTGGTTCTGTAAAATATCCTGGTGTTGCCTATCTTGAAGTTGAATTTGATCCTCAATGCCAAATTGAAGCCAAACATGATGTATTGATTATTACAGATAAAAATGGAAAGTTGTTAGTTGAAAAAACTGGAGATTCTGTTGAAATGTGGAGCAGTAAGCTTAAAGTAGCTGGTGATGAAATAAATTGGAAATTCACTACCAACAGTCCTGGTGGTTTGTGGGGCTTTCGTTTTACTGTCATTCCTGTTATACCAATAGAAGAGACTGATCTAGATTGTTTATCAGATGAAGCAGTTTTAGAAATTCCTTGTCTAAATTTTGTTAAGAGTCTTCTAGGTATTTATTTATTATTTTTAAATTTGTTCTTCACTATTTTTCTAATTTATTTTATTTATATATTAAACTATACTCTACACCTAATATATTTTATGTTTGTTTTTTTTTATTATTTTTTTATTTTTTTCACAAAGATTTTTAAATGAACTTTATTTACAGTTAGTGAGAGATTTAAGTATTGTTGATTTCAAATATATTTCTTATTTTATGGTATCTTGTAAGATAAATGAATTATTGCTGATTTTAAATAATTTTTGAAAGATAACTTCAGATTTTGAGTTTTGTGGAGTGAAAAAAATAAAAGTCATCTTAAACATGATCATTTATCTTGAACATAAAATAAAATTAAAAATCTTTATTTTATTAAAAGTTTTATTATTTAGGGTTTGGTATAACAAGTAAAGTCCATGATGAATTAGTAATTTTAAAGATAATTTCGTCTCTTTGTAAGTGTATCACATTGAAATCAGCTAACACTAAAGAAAAGATTTGGATGCTTTCCAAATTACATTTCCTTTTATTATCACATAATGCTCCACCTGTTGATATTCCAATGATATTTAACTGTAGTCAAACACAAAGCACTTTTTTGTGCAAGGTTAGACACAATGGAAACCAACATATTAAAGAGGTTTTTTAAGATTTAATTTTTTTAATTTATTATTTTGTATTTACTTAGCAAGTTAATATTATTAAAGTTTATGCAATTTGGGAAATTTACCTCTTTTTTTATTGTTTCTATAAGGCTTTAAATTTTAGTTTGTGATCAAAAGTTTAAACAATAATTTCTTAAATAAAATTTATTATTTTACTACCAGTAACCCACAAAACAAATAAGTACTGAAAGTAAATTAAATTTAAAACTTCTAGGGGTTTAAAAGAGTCTTGCCAATATCATAGAGGCATCCACTGGTTTTTAGTGAAAAGATTTTTCAATTTTTTTTTATTTTCTAATTTTAAATAGTGCAATATAAAATTGATAAAAATTGAAAATGAAGTTTAAAAATTTTTAAATTAAAAAAAAAATCTCTAAATGCCAAGTCTCAACAAAAGTGCTATTTGTAGATCAACTGTAAATAAAACATCAAACAAAAAAAATAAAATTGCAAGTATGGTGCATAAGTAACAAAAAAAAAAACTATAAATATAACTATTTCAAAATTCAACATGCATTTAAAACATATGCATATATAATTTTAATAACTCTAAAAATGTTTAAATATACTTATGAGAAAAATGTATTTTTTGGCAAAAAAATAAAAATGATAAAAAACCATTCTTTGTTTTTTGATGTTTTTTACAGATTTTTTTAAAATTTTAAATAACACAGGTCAAAAAAAAAATTGTTTTCCTCATCACACACAAAAAAAAAAGCTTTTCTTAAAGTATGTTCAATATTGAATCCAAATCTGGTTACAAGTTTTTTCTAGCACGTATAGTTTTTAAATTGTTTACATTTTGGTGTATTATGAAAATATACATAATTACATTAAAATGTAGTGTTTGAAAATCACATTTTATGCAAACTATTTATTTGGAAAAAACATATACTTTAGAATGGGCAAACAACAATTTTTAAAAATTGCTTTCCAATACCTCTAAGCGAACTTTATATAATAAAATGTCAGCAAACACTAAAGAACACTAAAGTTTATAGTTTAATATTTTGGTCTGGAATTTAATGATACAATATCCAGCAATAGTCATGCTTTCATTCCAAAATCCTTGGTAATGAACTTTCATAGTTCTAATGTCTTGATAAAAATATTCCTCGTTCTCATCACTTACCTCACCAAGGTTTTTGGGAAAGAAGTCTAGATGGGAATGCAGGAGGTTTATTTTCAAAGATATTTAACAATCCATTTTTTTATAAGCATCAATGAGTTTTACAACTTCATCCTTGTATGCAATCTGCATGATGATCTTTTTTTTTTTTTTATAACTTCATCCTAGGTATGGGACTTGTTAGCCCCCAGAAAGTTTACGCATGTTCATTTAAAAGCCAGCCAATTTTCCCATTTGTGTGGAGTGAGGGTTCTTTCAAATTCAGTATCCAATAAAATCTCCCAGATTTGTGGCCCAACAAAAATCTTGCCTTCAAATTTAATGTACTAACTTTTGGAAAATTCATGAAAAGGTGTTGGAGCCCTTATCAATTTACTCATTGCTTCAAAAAAATTCTTTATTAAGCCAAGTTTAATGTGAAGAGGTGGTAGGATGATCTTTTGTTGATCAACTAAAAGGACATACTGAACACTGCTTGCTCCTGGGAAGACCTTAGGGCCCATTACGTTTGTAAAAGTGTTTCATTGTGTCATGACTATCCTACAGGCAAATGAAACAACAATATTTTGTAAATCTTGCATGCATACCTATAACTTTAAGATCTCCACAGATGTGCCATTGGCGACTGTTAATGGCACATCTGTGGAGATTTGATTGCCTTAAGTAGTATATCCATATTGTCATATGTCTCTTTTAGAATGCACAGAATGTGCAATAGGGATGAATGACTTAACATTTCCATTATGCAAAAGTACTGCTTTCAGGCTTCTCTGCAACAAATTGATAAAGAGACGCCGGTCAGATGCTGCATGTGTTTCAGATTTAGTCAAGATAAATCTGTGAATAATTCATGTATATCTTGGCAATAACAGAGAGGGCCATCTACTGTAAAGTATGTTGCTAAGTTAATATTATGCTTTTGGTAGTTATTATTATGAACATTTTTTTCATCTTCCAATGTGTAATCAGAATGTGTTGCAAAAGTAACAATCTACAAAAATAACAATCTGCATGATGATCTTTTTTTTTTTTTTGCTCATCAAATCAGGTAATCCGTTTAAAGAAGCAGAGCAGATTTGATGTGGCCCCCATGGTTTATCTTAGTCACCTAGATGGCAACCAAAGTAAAGATTGTACATTTTATTGATGCTGGGTGTAATAGTTTGTCATTATAGTTTAGTTGTGAAACTGCCACATATATAACAAAACTTCTCAGAGTTATTTTTACATTCTCGAGGCATCCTGGTTGATCAGAGAAATGGGTTTGAAATGACTTTACAACAGCACTATACTTCATACGATGCTAGCTACTGGCAGAATGTTATAAGCTGATCTCAGAGATGCCATGTACCAAATATACATATTGCCAGACATACGATAACAGTTTGAAAAATAAAAAAGAAAAGTTAATCTACGAAATGCATAAAACAAATATAGAATTATGTTGAAAAAAATTAAATCTAAAAAATCCAGTTGAACTGGTTTATATACAAAGACTAGATGAAAAATTTGAAATAAAATTTTTTTGTCTATTTGTAAAAAGACTTTTACAAATAAACAAAAAAGCTCTTTAATAATATAGTTCACTTTTAACAAAAACTATACGTGCTACAAAAATCTAATTGCAGTTTTAAAATCAGCGTCAAAAATTGTATTCAGGCAGCCAAAAATTATATCTAATGAAAATTCTTTGTTGACCAGTTGTTTTTTTTAATTTGTTTTTAGATTATATTTATTATAAGTCATGTTTTTATTCCATTTAGCATACCTTAATCATAACTTTTAATCATATTTTTTTTTTTTTTACTGTATAAATAAAGTCTACATTGCACAAATATATTCTATGCACTTTTTATACCCAACTTTTTTGCATTTGGTCCATATTTTAGAAAAAGAAAAACATTTTAAAAGACTGTTTGTTTTTTTGTAATAAATCTTTTTTTGTTTTAAATTGAAAAAAAAAACTTTAAAAAAGTAATAATAAAAAGGAACTGTTAAAGTAAAAGCCAATTTTGGTTTTTACTTTTGGCCTTAAAAAAGTTAAATGAAAAGTTGGAGGTTTTGTTTTGGTAGGCTTGGTTTTTGTAAATTTATTGACATCATTTGTGCCAGCACACCATTTAAACAAAAAGTTTAAAATTTAGTATGCTAAACATAGTTGTTTCAGGCGAATAATTGTTTGATCGTATTTGGTTGTGTTATTATTGTTATTTGAATTAATTTTATAACTTGGTATAAATAAATTTTAAAACTTTTTAAAAGCAAATATTTTCTTTGAGCAGTATTTTAGTAATCTTTTTCTAATGTTTAGGCCGTTTCTCAGTCTCCACTCTCAGAGTTTATAATAGGAGTTCCAAAAGCTTTGCTGGAACAATACACATTTGAAGAGAAAAAAATAAAGAATTGTGATCAACTCATGTTTTCTACATTTTTGAGGGTATGGTTGTTTATATATTTTTTATTATTACTTTTATTTATTTTTAAAAACTGCATTATTTATATAGACATTGGCATTATTTGCATGCTCTCTTGGATTGGATTCAATGCCTTGTTGTTCAGACAAGCAGCAGTGGGCATGGTTCTCTCGGTATTGTACTGCTGTTCGGACAGCACATAGTTTTATACAAAATACGTCTTTACCCAAGCAGTTTGTTGATGATGTGAGAGAGAAATTAGTAGAGATATTGCAAGTTAATGAATCTCCATCTCTTGACTATGAAAAACATGTTTTTAGCAAATCAGAAGATTGGCAACTTCTGACATGGATGAACAGGTTTTCTTAATGCTTTTATTTTATTTTTTTTCTTCTCAGAGGCATTTATATATATACAGGCCTTGTGTTAAAGTGCAGGCATAGACCATTTTATGTTGATGAAGACTTTATATTACACTACGCTGTTTATGTTAAAAACTTTTTTGTTTGGTAGTATTTAAATATTTCTATAGATATTTTAAGCGGTATTTTAAAAATGTTAATGTTTATTTTAACAATTTTTAATGTTTTTTAATGATAATTTTAATGTTTATTTTAATAATTTTTAACGATAATTTTAATGTTTATTTTATCTTAATGAAGTAATTTTAATAACCGCACACCTATGAGACAAAAGTTTATATTACAAATACATGTTACATGTACCAGAAAAAGTCTGTACAGGTATTTTAAAAGATATTTATTCCAATAGTGTTTTTTGGTATTGAATGTTATATTCTGAAATTTCACTTAAAAAGACTCCCAAATGCCAAGACAAGTTATGTTTATTTTAACATTGGTAAATAAGTTTTGAATTTATTAAAATTGCCAAAACAATTTATTTATTGAGATATTAACAAAAAAATTTGTTGTTTTGCCATTATACTATATGTTGAGAGGCTAATATTAACTCCATCAATTTACTTAGTTTTATTTATTTTTTTTTATTTACCGTGAAATTTAATGTAATTTTATTTCTTACATAAGTCAAAAAAAACAACGTATTTTCGGTTTTAACATTTTATTAGCAGAACTTGTTTTTAACAAATATCAGTATAATTTTTAAATTTACATATCTTATATTTATAGCACTAATATAAGTTTTGTTTTTTAAAATAAAAGTTAGATAGTTAGACTTCTAAAACTTTTTAAACTTTTTTATTTATTGATTGAGTTATTTTTATTCGGTTCGTTTGATTTGTTATATAAAAGTATTTTATAGTATTTTTAAAAGGTTCGAAAAGGGTATATCACATACCTTAACTTGAGTTAGAATTAATTCTTTTTCTATAGTGCGTATGTACGTTAACATGAGGAAGAAGAAGTAGCATCAGAATCTGATATTTTATCTACTTGTGATTTGAAACCAATGAAATATAGTAACTAAAATTAAAAAAATAATAAAAAAAATTATATAAAAGTTTTTTTATAAATTCTTCTACATAAAAGTTCTTCTACATAAAAATTCTTATACATAAAAATTAATTGCAAAAGGGAAACCCAAACATAACGTTAATAACTCAAGTTATAAATGTTATGTTTGGGTTGGGGATCACTTTAGTAAGTTTATGAAGTTGTGTATGTGAGAACACGCGCACTTTGCATTTTACATTTGACATCAGCTTTCTGAGATAAACTTTCTTGGAAGTCTTGGATGTTTTTAGCTTCTTTTACATTGAACTATAATTTTCGATTGACAATTTTCTTTTTATAATTTTTTATAGCAAAAAAATTCTCTTTACTTCTTGTATAGTGGAAACACTTGTCATAAATTTATTTTCTAAAGTTCAAACAGAAATTTACACATTTCTGACTAAAGCATCTTTCACTTTTTAAACAAGATCTTGTCAAAAAAAACTTTTTGATCTACTTCTTAATTCCCTTATGATTGTACTAGTGTTCTTGAATCGTTATACCATGTTTTGCACTGTTCTCAAAACAATATGCTACTCTTTAGAAATTTTTTTGTTTGATACACCAGGATTTTCAAAAAGAAAATGCAAAATTTTTCCTCGCTTCATATCTTGAGTTGATGACATTTCAATTAAAACTAAAATAAATGCTTTGATAACAGAGTTTTTGCAAAATTTTAATAACACTGATACAATGACATTTTAAAACAATTAGCTACTTGAAGTAATGCATGGTTTCAATAAACACCACATCAATATTCCACAAACATACATTAAACACCACATCAATATTCCACAAACATACTCAGGGATTTCTTTTGTTACATGTCTTAAATATACTCTTTATTTACAAATATTATAAATTCACATGAAATTAAAAAATAAATAAAGCTTGTATTTTTATAAAATGAAATTTTTTATCGAGATATCTAGATATTCAAAATATTTAGCTACAGAAGAAAAAATTTATTTTAATACAACATAAATCAACTAAATTAAATAAATCAATTAAATCTAAGAAAAACTTGTTTATTGTTTTAATATGACATAAATAGTACATCCAATTCCAGTATACCGAAAACCGGTATCCTGGTATACCGGCTGTTTTTCCAATACTGATACCGAGCTCTCAATACTGGTATATACCGGTATTTCAGTTATTTTTCTCACCGCACAGAAATTGTTAGATTAAACTTTGTGCGTGTTTAAACACGCACAAAGTCTAATCTTCGTGCACAAAGACACGGAGATTTTTAGAGAGTAATAAGCGCGAAAGTATCACTGAAGAAAACTTTTATTATAAAAATGAATTAAAAAAAGACTTTCTTAGATGTAGAATACTTTTTTTAATGCTACCGAAGTATTAAATAAATTACATTTATATTTTGAAATATTAAACTCTTTTAATATTATCTAAGCGAGAAAATATTACTTAATGGAACTTAGATAAATAAAATAAAAAAAGCCTTTCTTAGAAAAAAAGTTTTTTTTTAATATTTAGTTATGTGTATAAATTTTTGTGTTAAATTTATGTGTATAAATTTTTTTATAATTAAATAATTAGATATTTTTTTGAGTTTTATTTTTCACTTTGTTTTTTGTAACTTTGTTGTGTTGTGCTACAACAAAACAAAGTTTTACTTTGTTGTGCTCGTTTTACATTTATTTGTAAATAACAACAACAACAAATAAAGACAAAAAAATAAATTTAAAAAGAATAAATATTTAACACACATGTATTCAAAGTCAAGATAAAAAACAACATCTCTATTTAATATAGAGGTGTTATTATGTTTTTTCATATGAGATCATATATGGTCTTAATCTAATATATATATTTACATATTTTGTATTTCAATATTATTTATCATATTTCCAATTCTAGTATTCAAAAACATGCTGCCCTAACCATGGCTGATACAACAAAAGTATTTGAAGACTTTGAAAAAAACCTGGACTTCTGTAAAAAATAGTTGTTATTTGAACATTAATGTTTATTCTAGAAACAGATTTTAGAATTTAGGTTTAGCACGAGTTAATGGACATTTCTCAGCAGAAATGTGTGTTAAGTTAATTGACAACTTACTGAAAGAACACAACGTAAAAATTGATTGCGATACCGTATGTATTACAACGGATGGTGCTTTGGTAATGAAGAAAGTAGGACAATTAATGTCCATCAACCAACAACTGCAAGCAACCAATATTAAGTTGAGAGTTATTAGAAAAAAAGAATAGAGTTATGGAGCAAAAAAACAGTTGACCGAAGACTTAAAAAGTTGAAGGTTGTATGATTTAGGAAAACATAAATTTGGAAGAGAGTTTTAAAGGGTTAAAGTGCAGGGAAAAAAACAAATAAAGTTTTTTGGAGCATGCAGGGACAGATACAGTAAAAGAATAGATAAATGACTAGTTAACCAAGAATGAGTTTTAGTTGATGGAACTAGAGATAATAGCTCCTTTTAGCAGCAACCATGATAGTATTTGTAGAAAAGAGAAAGAGATGCAACTTTACGACAATGGAAAAGAGACTCAAGCTTAGCAGATAGACCAGGTCGAACTACATTAACAATGCATTTTTGGACCTTGTCTAGAAGAGAAAGAGCATTATTAGATGAACCAGCCCAAATAAATACAACAATATTCCTAGAGGTAGAGAATGGAATCAGGAAGTTTGACTGTTGTCATTAATTTTATACATTATTTCAACTTAAACAATAAAGTTTTTGAACCGTTTATTTGTTACTTTGGGTTTTAATAAACGTTTTTTTAAGTATTTGTAAATACCAGTATTAATACCGGTATATCGATTTTTACTAAATCTAATACGGAAAAACCTGTATTTAATTTTTGGTCCGGTATTGGAAGTTCTAGACATAAATGAACAAAATGTACATCTTAGAAAAATAATCTAGCAAGCATGTAAATATTTATTTAGACAATGTTAGTTTTATAATTTTGTTCAGGTATTGGAAATACAGCGACAACTGGCAATAAAACTTTTAAAAACTTTAGTTTAAACTAACTTAACTTGGCTCTTAGAAATTTAGTTGTTTGGTTTCAATATAATGATTTTATCACTTGACAGGCACAGCATTTATTTAAAGTATGTACCCTAAAAATAAACTAGACTATATATATTAAATTTAAAATTAGGTTAAACCTAAATTTAAAATTAGGTTAAACCTAAATTTAAAATTAGGTTAAATCTAAATTTAAAATTAGGTTAAACCTAAATTTAAAATTAGGTTAAACCTAAATTTTAAATTAGGTTAAACCTAAATTTTAAATTAGGTTTATCCTAATTTTAAATTTAAGTGCGACTATATATTGTTAAATAAGCAAATTTTACTTTTTGCTGAAATTAGCATTGAAAAGCTTTTATTTCACTTTTTTTTTATTTTAATAGAAATGAAATTTCTTGAAAACATAAAAATATGTACAAATTGTACATTAAAGTTATTTGAATAACACAAGTGTTAATAACACATTTTAATAACACTGTATAGCAATCATTTTGTAAAAGAAGTTATATATATATATATATATATATATATATATATATATATATATATAAGTTATATATACACACTTACTAAAGCGTGTTTTGATAAGCATTTGCTCACTTTTTCTGCTTACCTTAAGCTATACCGTTTTTTTCGAAAAAGAAGTAGAAAAAACAAAGAATGATAAATAAAACGATTGCTTCCCCATCCCAAACCCTCAGTCGATGCAGCAGCACTCCACTGCGAGTCAGGCTATTTGTCAGTCGATGTATGTACTGAAGCCCCCAGCAGCAGGCTATTTCAGTATGGCGTCAGATTGCTTACCTTAGTACGCAATACTATTTGTATATATATATATATATATATATACATATGTATATATATATATATATATATATATATATATATATATATATATATATATATATATATATATATATATATATATATATATATATATATATATATATATAATAGAAAATCTCAAGACTGGAACATGATTTGGGCTGGAGCTGGTACTGTTTATGGTTGGGGTCACAATCATCGTGGTCAGCTTGGTGGTGTAAGTGGAATAAAAGTAAAATCACCTGTTCTTTGCTCTGCTATTGCTGCTATTAAACCTGTTCAAATAATTGGAGGAGAACAAACTTTTTTCTTTCTTAATTCTGATGGAAAGGTATTAGTTTTAGCTTGTTACTAAAAATTCTATTTGAATTTATGCATAAAAAAAAAATTTAAAGATTTTGAAAAAAATTTACGAGTAAATGTAAAAATACAGTATTAAATATAAAATTTTGTAGTAAAAGAATTTTTCTAATTAGCATAAAATTTAAAAGTTTTTTTTTTACTTTATTTAAGTTGATGTTTTTAGGTATTTGCAACAGGATATGGAAACAATGGTCAGCTTGGATTAGGTTATTCAGAAACAGTAACTTCCCCTCGCTTACTAGAATCAATCAAACACATAAACATAAAAAAAATCTCTGTTCACTCTGGTGGTAGGCATTGTTTGGCTCTTTCATCAGATGGGGAAGTGTTCTCATGGGGAGAAGGAGAAGATGGAAAGTTAGGCCATGGAAATAGACAGTAAGTTAAACAATTTGAATGGTGATTTGTTGTTAATTTTTTTGTAAATCATTTATTGTTACAACATTAACATTTGATAGGACAAGTAGTCAACCAAAACGAATTGAATTTTTTTGTGGAAAAATAATAACTAATATTTGTGCTGGAGGTTCTCACAGTGCAGCTATTGGTTTAAATGGGGAGTTATACACTTGGGGAAAAGGGCGTTATGGAAGACTTGGTAAGTTAAATTTTTAATGTGTTGATTTTAAATTGTTTTTATGTTTTTTTTTTGTTGTTGTTGTTTTTTTTTCTATTTTTATGAAACTTTATTATTTTTAAACTTTATTTTTCAAAACCTCTATTTTTTATTATTATTTTATTAATGAGCAGAAAGCTACTAAAGATGCTGAGAGTTTTAATGACAAGATTTGTTTTTTAATGGAAAATATGATTAGTAATTTCTTTCAACAAATATGAGGTGCACAAAAAGAACTTATAAAGGAAATCCATATTTTCATTGTCATCATCATCATATGCTAATTGTCAAACCTCTCCAACATTTTGAGAGTTATGGCTCTTTTCTATGTCTTCAGTAAATAATAAAATCACGCAGGGTAAAGTAAAACCTCTCTCACTGTTAATAAATGATTAGTCAACATTAATGTTAGAAAGTATATAGTTTAGGTGAGACTAAAATTTACCCAAATTTAAAACTTTAGATGATAATTAGATTTTTAATCGAAAAATAACAAACTCTAGAATATTCAAATGAAGGCGTGAAAAAATTGGCATTCTTTAGAATATTCAAATAAAGACATGAAAAAATTAACATTAACCAAAATATTCAAATAAATACATGAAAAAATTGACATTCCAGAATATTTAAATAAAAACATGAAAAAATTAACATTTGCCAGAATATTCAAATAAAAACATGAAAAAAATTAACATTCGCCAGTATATTCAAATAAAAACATAAAAAAATTATCACACTCCAGAAAATTCAAATGAAACATGAAAAAATTTCAGCAAAAAAAACTTCTACCAAAGCTGATAAGTTTTTATAAAATAGTTTTGTGAATATAAAAGAAGACTCTGGAAAACATACTTGCATGAGTATGTTTCATTATAACCAATAGTAGATAATATCTGTAAATTTTTACTTTTTTTTAAAGAAGTGTGAGATAAGCTTTTAGATAAAGCAAGGTTGAAAATAGAGATCAGAGAATCAGAAATTGATACTTTGATGCCAAATCAAAGAAATAAATGTATATGAAGTGTTTGTAATAACTAAGAAATCAGCCTTGTTAAGAAGCGTTATGCTATTCAAGTTTTATGTATAAAATGGTGATTTTGTCTAAATGTTAAGCCATTTATATTACAAAATAACTTTTTTTCAATTATATAAACATTTTTTTTTAATTTATGCAAAAAACATCAAGCAGTAATTTATTGTTGTAAAAACATTTTTACCACAATTGTGAAATTATTTTTATTTTTAGATAAAAAAGACAGATTTAAATTTATTTTATTATATTCAAATTAAGTTTGTTATTAAATGTTAATAAATTTAGATTTATTATTATTAGATTAAATTTAATTTAATCTAATAATAATAAATAATTATTATTATTAGATTAAATTTAATTTAAATTTTTTTTAATTTAAAAAAAAAAAGAAAATTTTATTTAAAATGCTTAATTTAAAATTTTTACATAATAAACTACAACATAAAATTTCTAAACATGTTAAAGAAAATTTTTTATGTTTATTTTAAATTCAACTGTTTTGTTTACCTATAGTTTTTTTTTCATTAATGTATTTATTATCATTTATTATTTTTAGTTTCAAGCCAATAAATTTTTTATCTTGTTACAAAAATGCTAATACACAGAAGTTCATTTTAAAAAAAAATCCACTAAATTGTGAGAAAGCAAACATAAGACATTAATGTTGTGTTCAAAATGTTTTAAGAAATAAATATAAGTTTAAATAAACACTCACAGTAAAGTGTGAGAAAGCAAACATAAGACATTAATGTTGTGTTCAAAATGTTTTAAGAAATAAATATAAGTTTAAATAAGTATAAGTTTTTTAAATTTAAGAAATTTTTTTTTTTCAAACAACATATTTAAATTTTATTGATAATTTTTTTATAACATTATCGTTTAATTTAAAGATTTTTTATAAAGATTTTACAAAGATGAAAACTTAAAAAAACACTTAATAAATATAAAAAGACTTAAAATGATTTACAATGATTTTTATGTGGTTTCAAACTAAATTTAATTACAATGCAGTACTACGCAACTGATGCAATTTAACTTTTAACAATTTAAATATGTTAAAAGTTAAATTACATTTACTCACGTAACACTTTTCGGTTACGCAACAAAATTTCATAACCTTATATATTATTTAAATTTCTGTTACACAATCTTATAATCTTATATATTATTTAAATTTCTGTTATGCAACAAAATCTTGTAACCTTATATATTATTTAAATTTCTGTTATGCAATCTCATAAACTTATATATTATTTAAATTTCTGTTATGCAACAAAATCTTGTAACCTTATATATTATTTAAATTTAGGTCATGGTGATAGTGATGATCAGTTGAAGCCAAAACAAGTTGAAGCATTGCAGTTTTTTTTTGTTCTTGATGTAGCGTGTGGTAGCGGTGATGCTCAAACATTATGCATTACAAACGATGATAATGTTTGGTCATGGGGTGATGGTGATTATGGAAAACTAGGACGAGGTTAGTTTTTTAATAAAGTATTATTTAAAAAAGTTCAATTTTTATTTCTTGGATTTTTATTTGTGTGGTTTTTTAATAAAGGAGTGATGGATGTGTAGTATGAATGTTTTTTTAAGGTGGGAGTGATGGATGCAAGGTACCTATGATAATTGAAGATTTGTCAGGAAAAGGTATTGTGAAGGTAGAATGTGGTTCGCAATTCTCAATGGCACTCACAAAATATGGTGTTCTTTACACATGGTGAGTCAAGTATTGAATTTTTTTTTTTTAATTTTGCGTTATAAGCGTAATGATTTTTTTAATATTTTAGTAATTGTAATAATGAATATTTTAGTAATAGTAATAGTAATAATGTCCATTGTGACTACTTGATCTTATTCAAGCTATAGTTATTTTTCATATATTAATCAAGTTAAAACTCCTAACTTTTAAACTAAATTAAATTATATCCATTTATTTAACCATAAAATTGAAATTATTACAAAGTAATTTATAATTTCACAAAATTTTGTTCGGTGTCACTCATATATTTAAAAACTAGTCACGGGAATGACACCTTAATAAAATAAACAAATAAAGCAAAAAAAAAGTAATATAGATAGCGACCAAAATAAAATTAAACAAAATAAAAAGAAAAAGAAAAATATTTAAAAAAGCATAGCAAATAACATAAAAAAGGCAAAAGTGAATAAACTGACATGATAGATAACGAGTGAATGAGATAACACAACGTTTGAAGATCAGAAGGATGATAAAAATAATGAAGAAAATTAAAAAAAAAAAGATATTTTTAAATATGGCAAAAAATAAGGCAAAAAATAAGAAATAACTTGAATAGTAGCAACAAACATAAAAAGCAACAAAAATAAAAATAATTAGCAATAAGACTACAAAAAAATGCACAGCAACATAAACAATACACAAGTTTGCACGTCAAGATAAACAATGCACAAAACTATGCAGTATAAACAAAACACAAAAATACACGATAGAATAAACAATCCAAACAATATAAATTAATAACTTAAAAAATGTTATTTTTGTATCTTTTAATATCTTAAAGTTTTTTATTTTTGAATTTATCACAAACATTTTTATTCTTTCAACTTTGTGTTTATTTTTTCTGTTTATTTAACTGTTTATTTGATGTTTTTCTTTAATTTTTATTCTTTAATATTTTTATTGTTTTCACTTTATTTCATTTTTCAAATCTTCTAAACAATTTTTTTTTTTTTGCTCTTTATCTATTTTTCACCTTTTCACCGTTAAAAAAATGTTTTCTCCATTTGCAATGTCATTGCAAAGTGGAGTTGCAAATATCATTGCAGAGTGGAAATTAAAAGTAATATTAATTTTAGTGATATATTTTCAGTTGAAAATATATCGATTCACTTTTACTAGACAAAAATAATAACTCATTATATAAAAAAAGATTTAAGCACTGTTTACTAATTTTTGGATTGCGGTTTCAATGGTGACATTAGTTTTAATTTTGAATTGCTATGGATACCTAAATTGCTTAGCAGCCACATATTTTATTACCAAAATAAATATAAACTGGACAAAAGTAATAACTTTATTGGGTTACTCCCATAATCACCGCATTGAGTATTTATTATACCACAAATATAGTGGTATAATGGATTTTTTATTTTTGATAATGACTTCTGAAATGCTTGGCCATGGTTACATGGTTACATTTTGCATAGTTACAAGCTTTTCAAGTAACTTTCTTAAAACATCAAAGTTAAAAATTTGATTAATATTAATGTGGCAGTTTGATTGAAAATTATTTTATGCGTTTAAAAAAATAAAGACATATCCAGTTATTAATTTAAGGTGTTTCTATGCAATTCAACGGCTCTATTTTATATTTCATGAAACTACTACATAATACATATAAAAAAGAACTGAAAACTTAAAACTTATTTGTAGAACGCTTTTTGTTTGTATGGAGTAGTACAAAATCTTTTGGTTTAAAATTAAAATTCTAACAATTGTAAGACAGCTTAAGCTTCTTTAACATTGGCGCAAACTACAACTTGATGCAAACAATAGTTCAAACTACAACTTGATACAAACAATAGTTCAAACTACAACTTGATGCAAACAATAGTTCAAACTACAACTTGATGCAAACAATAGTTCAAACTACAACTTGATGCAAACAATAGTTCAAACTACAACTTGATGCAAACAATAGTTCTGAAAATGATAAAAAGCAACTAATGGCACCAATCTTCTTTTCTTTGTTTCGCTACTTGAAGTTCCAAAATTCACCTGGGGTCTGAATACTACAATTGGAATAAGAGCAGAGTTTTAGATAATTGGATACATCTTTATCAATGAGAAGAATATTTTTATTATTAATTACAAATTGATTATCAGTTCATTTTGTAGCAATTGTTTGTTATTCCATTCGAAACGAAATTTAGAGATTTTACATATATGTTACTCATGCCATTTACAACTGCATCCATAATATTAGGATTAGCTAACTTTAAGTTTTCTTGTATTATATATGAATAAATATCAATATTTTTCATGTTTTAACTATATAAAAGTATGTACACATTTACAAAATCTTATAAATAGGTATTTTAAGATGTATAAATATTAAAATAAGTCTGTAACATTTATCTAACTAAGACTATTATTACATAACCATTTAGAAAAAAATGCAAAGTTTTTGCCACATAAAATTGGATACATCATTGTAAAAATCATAAAATTGGATACATACAACTTGTAAAAATCATTATTAGAGACCATACAGACATCTGGGGATAATAAACCAAATTTATATTGATAACACAGTCCAACAAAAAAAATTCTGGTGCCAAGCAAACAATATGTTTTTTATACAGCATTTCTCATTTTGATTTCAAATACGCAACTCATTTTTAACATCACTTCAAGTTGTGAAAATATAGGGGTTCAAATCTTTAGCATCTGGGATAAAATTCTTAATGTTGTCAAAAAAAATTATTCAACAGTATGTCATTCTAGGTCACGAAAAAAAAAATTTTATTTTTTAGCTTAGAACATGATAAATATACAAAAATATATTTATATATAAATATATTTAATAAAAGCTAAATGTTTAAGCTGTAAAATTATATATAGTAATATCATTTTTTAGAATGACTTTTTTTTACTTTTGTCAATCATCTGGCCTACTGTGCAGTGGTCTGTTTTGTCAGTTTTAGAAAATATAGCTTTTTTTAGGCTGTTATAGGCAGTGAAAGTAGAATTATCTGGGTGCACAATATGTTTTTGGTAGACCCATAAAGAAAATTATTGTATTTTTAGTTTTAAAATAATTTGTATTTGTAGTTTTAAAATCATTAATGGATGTCAATATCTGTTTGGTTTAACAGTTTCAACATCTGTTTGATTTAACAGTTTCAACATCTGTTTGATTTAACAGTTTCAACAGTATAAAGTTGAACACCAAAAAGATTTCAATAAGCAACAAAAAAAAAACTTTGCAACAAACTTTTTAATTATGCTGATTTTAAAAATCATAAAAATGCTTATAAAGAAGCAAATATATTATAAATTTATATAATATATATGAATATATTATAAATTTATAAATGTTTTTATAGCAAAATCTTTCATTAACATTTCAGAACAAGAGCGAAAATATTTGAAGAAACTTTTAGGCAAAAAAATATTTCTCTCTTCGAAATTACTGATAATGTTAAGTCACATTTAATGTTTTTACTAATATTTAATGAATAAGTTTAAAAGGTTGAAGGATATTTATACAATAAGATCTTGATAAAATTTCTAGGTTAGTTCAGCAAATACTGTAGATTTCCCTAATTCCAAACAGTCCGTAATTCTAAACAGCTTTAGTTCACTTATTGTTAAATCTTTTATTTTTGTGGGATTTTTAAAAGGAAAACTAATTAATAATTTGGAAGACTAGGGTAATGAGAATATGAAAAAGTATTTTCAAAATATATATATTGATACCATGAAATTTTTCAATTGCAAGCAAAGCAATTTTTTAAACCCTGAAAAACCAAAAATAAAAAACCAACTTAAAAAAAAAAGACAATTTAAATTGCGTACTGTTCGATGTAGATTTTGAAGGTGATTATTTATCTGAAAAAAAAATGTCAAAAATACTTACTAAGATGTTTTAAAAACAGTGCTTTTCTGCATAATTAAAAACATTTCCTGAATTCCGAACAGATTTTGGAATGCATTTTTTTTTTGAAAAAGTTTGCATTTTTATGTGCGAGTAATTAACAACAATATTTAACAATAGTGTTTTAACAACATTAACTTAGAATCTAATAAAGGCATTTAACTTTTTTATTTAATTTCTAAACATGTTGTTTATCTTAACGTTTGTTAATTTTAAAAAATGTCAAAGTTTAAAAAAAATGAAGATTGTGAAAGAAAAATTAAACTTGTATTGAGGCTATCAATAAGAAGATATCATATTCAGAAACCACTTTATGTTATAACAATCCTAGAACAACTATTTTTTGCAGATTAAAAGGAATAGTTGGAGCTGCTGGTGTTGGTAGGCCCAGAGCAATAAGCCAATTACCAGAGAGGCTTATAGTTGAAGTTGTACAGTTTATAAGTGACATTGGCTTCAGCTTAAAAAGAAATGATATTTTAACTGTGGCCAAAAACTATTTGAAGGAATCTAAACAAACTCATTTATTTAAGACCGGTAAACTTACTTGAAATACAATAGTTTTATGAAAAAATGCACAAAAACTATATGCGAAAGAAAGGCTATTAGCATGCAAGCTGTAAGAGCGGTGTCTTTGCAATCAGCAATTATTGATGAATGGTTCAGCCAAGTTAACGCTGTTTATCAAGAGCATAATTTAAATGAAAAGCTGTTTTATGTGTTCAACTGTGATGAAAGTGGATTGAAATTCAATCAAGGTATAGTCAACATTGTTTGTCGAAAAGGAATAAAAAATCCAAAACAACTTGCCCCAACAAATGAAAAACATATGACTACAATTTAAACCTGTTTCGATGCTTTTAGAAATTTCCTACTTCATCAAGTTGTTTACAAAGTTTGAAATTTGATGAAAGCCGAACCGAAAGGTTGAAAAAAAGGTTCAAGGTGATGCTTCTGATGTTTATTATTCTACCAGCAAGGTTGATAACACAGTTTTTGTTGGACTGTGTTATCAACAGTTTGGATGGAAAGCGAAAATTTCATAGAATGGTTTTGTTCAATTTTTTCAGTTCACATAAACAAACTTCAAGGATCTAAAATTCTATTTTTAGACAGCCATGCATCTCACATTAATTTTGAATTAAAAAGATTATCTGAATCAAACGACATAATTTTATTTCGACTAGCTCACACAAGTTATTTTTTGCAACCACTAAATGTTGGAGTTTTTAAAACAGAAAAGGCGGAATGGAAGCGAATTATAGAAGTTTACTTGGTTTGAAATTCTTATTTAAGTTTAAGTTTTCACCCATGCTAAAAGACCTTATTACAAATAAAGGCTTTAAAGCGGAAAATCCATGTAGTGGTTTTGAAAATACAGGCATATTTTCACTCAATCGTTCAAAAATAACTCCAAATAAAACTGCAATCGGTTTCAAGATGTAACAAATGACAAAATGGAGAATTGTTTTTCTGGAAAGTCGAACGATTCACAAGTTTTACTTGATAAAACTATTAAAATAAATTCAAAAAACTCTATGAATAGACTTTCAACAAAAAAAGTATTGCTCAAAAAATAAGATAGCATTAAAAATGCTGTTAAACAAGCATCTTTTGATATTAATAAATCAGTGCTCAGTATGCTTAGAGATAGATTAAAGTCTTTTTCCAGTAGTAAAGAAAAATGAACAATGATTAAAAGAATAACAAGTTATAACATGACTGAACTATCTGCAATGGCTTAGAACAAAGCAGCACAAGCTGCTTAAAAAAAAACTTGATGAAAAAGAAGCCAGAAAAGTTATTAAAGAAGAAAAAAAAAAGACAGCAATTCTCAAAGAACAAAAGTTTAAAAAAAGAAGAAAAAAAGCTTTTAATACTTAAAAAACTCCAAAAATGGTCTCAGAAATATAACAAAACAACAAAGATGTCTACTAGTCAAAATATTGAGTGTCTTCCTGCCACCAGCTGTAATCCCTACCATATCAATCGTCTTTCTATTTCCTGTGGAAGCCTTTGGGACAATGCTACAAGCAACAATTGGGTTGCATGTGAAAAGTGCTCTAACTGGTCGTGTATTCCTTGTATTATCTATTATCACAAAACAATTGAATTTGTGTGCAAGGAGTGTGAATAGCTTTAATTAGTTTTAATTTTTGTAGCTTGATGTTTTATAACAATATTTTTTGAATACAATAACTTTTTCATTATAGTTTTTTAAAAATTATCAAATCTGTACAGTACAGCTAGGGTTACCACTTCCAATTGAATTAGTATTCATTTGGAGGTAGCGATCATCGCTGTACTCTACAGATTTGATAATTTACAAATACAGATATATTGCTGCGATACTATTTAATAAAAACTAACTGCGATACTATTTAATGGTATGGTTATAATAATAGAAGGTTATAAAATAATAATTTTCAGTGAGTAAAATTGTTACTGAACAATGTTTCAGTTATTGAATTACTGCCATTTAAAATATAACTGCGTAAGGGATAAAACTGCATTGCTATATGATAAAAAAGCACTACAAGCTTCCTATTTGATTAATGGGGGAGCATTTGTTAAGGCTGTGACCAACCTGATACTAATAACTGAGATTTCTTCTGGTTAACAACAGTTAACTGACAGAAGCAGGCAGTGTCTGTGACAGTTTTTAAAACATCTAAGTAAGTATTTTTGACTTTTTTTTTCAGATAAATAATCACTTTCAAATTCTACATCGAACAGTATGCAAATTAAATTGTCTTTTTTTTTTAAGTTAGTTTTTTATTTTTGGTTTTTCAGGGTTTTAAAAAAGGTTGTTTTTTTTAACTGATTACAAAAAAAGTAATGGAAGACAAGATCTAATAAATAGATAATACACACCCTATACCAACACAATGTTATACCCTTACATTAAAATAAAAGTAATTTTAAATTTTAAAAATCTTTTTACTTAACTATAAGCTAGAAATCTATGCTAGTATAAATTATTTACCTTTTTAAATTGAATGCTATTTTTTGGGATATGTTCTCAATTAGGATTTCCTAATTCCGAACAAAAACTTTTTAAAATTTAAAAATTAACAATTATATACTTATATAATTGTTAATTTAAACCATAGTCATAAAAAGAATAGTCTGGAAACGCAGGCCGTTTCTAACAGTTTTTATTGTTCAAGTTGAAAATCGGGTGGCCCGCAGGAATAAGGTGCAAAATAAACTTAATGATGGCCGAAGGTTCAGATGATTTATTTCTTTTTGAGCACATTGTCGAGTTAAATCAAGATGAGCTTGATGCTATTTTTGCAGTTATTGACCAGGATTTGTTAACTGATGTTGTTGAAAAACAACATGATTCGCATACACCACAAACAACATTTTCGTGTCGATTTTGTAATAAAATATATTTGAGCTCTAGGGGTCTCACTCGTCATACTAATTGCAAACATTCAGATGCTTTATCAGTTCACTCGGAAGTTTTAAAAGATACTGAGAAATCTAAAATACCAGAAGAAATACTTGATCTTCAAAATTTTCAAATATATTTAGAAAAAAGTGTTGCAATGCTTTCATCAGACAACTGCTTTGAATCAATACAAAATCATTTTAAAGCCTATGTGATTAATTTTGATATATCTAACACAGCATATCAGTTTATTAAACCGGTAATTAATATACTTGTTGCTTAATATGGTTTGATTCAGTTTAAGCTCCAGTTTATTTTTTTAAAAAAATTAATTTGAAATTCAAAAAACAAGCGGAGTTATTCAACTTTAAGTATGATTTTGTTCGGAATTAGAGAAATCTATGGTACATGAAGGCAGTTCAGAATTCTAGAAAAGTTGAATTTTGTGGCAAAATGTATTAATATTGAAAGAAAAGCTGGGAAAAGTGGTAAACATTGGAATTTAAAGTAAACTTTAAACTCCAATGTTTTGATAAATTACAATCTAAATTAATTAATACAGACAACTGAAGAAAATTCTTAAAGATAACAGTATGGGTGTTTACTGGTGGGTAGGTGTTTACCAAAGCTAGATAGAAGTTCAAGATTTTCTCTGAGAACATTTGTTGGATGATGTTGGAGTTTACTCTACATTTACAGAGTCAACTAAATTTACTATGTTCCAGATTCTTTAACTTGAAAATGTCCATATAATATCAGAACTATCAAATTTAGTTCTTGAAATCAATTTCAAATAAAGTTATGGTCGCAGTGGAGGATATAAAGAGCATAATTTTTTTTAGATTCTTAATACCAATAAAATCTTTGAAACTTTATAAAAACTTTGCTCAAGTGGTTTTTTTTAACTAAAAAGTCAAATGATGTGCATCATAGGCAAATGACAAGTCTAACAGCTGAATCAAATGTTAGGTTTGTACAGATACTATACTCTAACCATTTCATGAAATTGGTTGTTCATACAACTGCAAGACTCCATTTATGGACAGAGTCTAAGACAGCTTGTAGTACCCTGTTCTTTGAAGTAGAGAAGAAGAATATGTATTAATTAGATAAAAAAACAGGAATCAAATTGGGTTTTTCGTATTCATCAGGTCAAGTGTACTACCACAACAGTTAGCTAGATGTCTTCTGTAGAATGAGAAAAGCAAAAAATTACTGATTACTGATCACGTTTCAAATTACCATGACAGAATATTAGCTGAGCGGTATAGTCTCTTGTCTACTATTAATTGTGCTATGTCATCTAGTCAAAATTACTCATTTTTACAAATATTACTCACTAATATTTAAATAATTTAAGTTTTATTCTAGGGGAAAAGGAGATTATTATCGCTTGGGTCATGGTACAGAAGAACACGTGCGGCGTCCAATGATGGTAACAGCCCTTTTTAATAAAATTGTTACTTCAATATCATGTGGTTCATTGCACTGTGTTGTTTGCACTGATGAAGGTGAAGTGTATTGTTGGGGAGACAATGATGAAGGTCAACTTGGTGATGGCACTATCATAGCTCGACAAACGCCGACTTTAAATACATTCTTACTAGTATAGTTTTAGTATAATTGTTTTTTAGAAATAAAACATGTATTTCTTTGTTTTTTAGAAATATAGCATGTATTTCTTTGTTTAACATACTTTATACTTTTCTTTTATAGAATAAAAAGATTGATCGAATATCTTGTGGATCAGCCCACACCATTGCATGGTCTACAAGTAAAGCAAGTGAAAGAAGAAGTTTGCCATTAGAAGTCCCGGTTGAATACAATAATTTAAAGCATCTACCCATGAATGCTTTACGTGATAGAGCGTTTCTTTTAAATAGCTTTTCAAAGTTGATTTGTTTATGCTTTCCTTTGCTTGATCTCGTTCCACAAGATACAGATGTTGAAGAACCTATGATAAATTCTTTGAGGCGCATAATCCTATTTTCATTTAAGGTATTTGAGTACTTTTTAAAAGCTTTTGTCTATATATTATTCTATAGGATCAACGGGTTTATTAACTTTTTTTCTAAAATCCATTCAAAACTTTATTTCAGGAATCAATAATGAGAAAAGTAATTGAATCGACTTCAATACGTGATCAACAGCACGGCCCTGTTGTACAACTTAATAGGGTAAGTTATTTTTTGTCAACAATAAGTAAAAATATTTACCACTCGTTAATGTTATAAATTTTTTTTGTTTTTTAGGTCGTAAAGCATCGTCAATTACGTGGTTCTAATATAAATCAATCATTGTTTGCTCAACTAGCTTGGTTGATTAATGAATTTCCATCTGACAGTTTTCGTTTACCTAATCGAATGTGGAAAGTTAAGTTTGTTGGCGAGTCAGTTGATGATTGTGGTGGGGGGTTTTCGGAATCTTTAGCGGAAATTTGTGAAGAATTAAGAAACGGTAGTCTTCCGATCCTTTTGCCCACTCCCAATAACGTTGAAGAAAACGATCAAGATTACGATTGCTTCATGCTTAACCCAGGTCTAAAGCATCCGAATGCCAGAGATCTATTTCGCTTTTTTGGTAATTTAAGTGAAATAGTTAATATTATTAATTACAATCTTTATATATTTTATATATGTTATATACATGTATATATATATATATATATATATATATATATATATATATATATATATATATATATATATATATATATATATATATGTATATATATATATATATATATATATATATATATATATATATATATATATATATATATATATATATATATATATATATATATATATATATATATGTTACATATACATTTTATTTATTTATATATATATATTACATATATATGCATATACATATGTAGGTATTTTGCTTGGAATAGCTGTGCGCACTGGCCATCCCATGAGTTTAAATTTAGCAGAGCCTATGTGGAAACTGTTAGTTGGCTCAAATATCACTTTAGAAGATATTGGAGATATGGATCGTGGTTTTTTTGCCAAATATTCATATCTTCTTACGGTAAAAGGTGCCGATCTTGAAGCTGTTGAACTGCCATATGTTGTCCTTAGTGCTGGTAGAGAAGAAATTGTTCTAAGTGAGTCTCATAAAACAATAAACGAATTAAACAAAATGGAATACCTTAAGTCTGCACTCTTTTACAAACAACACGAATTCGATGAAATTGTGGGTTGGATTCGATTTGGAATGGCTCAAGTAATACCTGTTCCTGTATTATCATTATTCACCGGTTCCGAATTTGAAACTATAGTTTGTGGAAGCCCTGACATTCCAGTGGAAGACTTGCGTTCTTTAACATCATACAAAGGGATAGATCCTCTTTCTCCACTAGTTGGTTGGTTTTGGCGAGTTTTAGAAGATTTTACTAATCATGAGCGATCGTTATTTTTAAGGTTTGTTTGGGGACGAACGCGCTTACCTAGAACGCATGCTGATTTTCGAGGAAAAGATTTTATATTTCAGGTTATAAAAATTTTCGTTTTCATATTTAAAGTATGAGTTTTGCATAATTTTTTTTTCGACTAAACACGAAAATTATGTATTTAGGTTTTAGATAAATACAATCCACCAGATGAGTATCTTCCAGAATCCTACACCTGTTTTTTCTTACTTAAAATGCCAAGGTACACAAACTATGAAACACTTAAAGAGAAACTAAAATATGCTATTTATTTCTGCAAATCTATAGACACAGATGATTATGCGAGGATTGAGTCAGCAAATCTATAGACACAGATGATTATGCGAGGATTGAGTCAGCAAATCTATAGACAGAGATGATTATGCGAAGATCGAGTCAGCAACTAGCTAATTGGTAATTAAGTCTAGTTGTCCCGTTAAGTCTGGTTGTTTCGTGTTTCATTCTATTATAATTTTTTGAATTATCAGAAAACTTAGTTTAAAAAAAAAAAGAGAAAAAGGAATTTATGTCATAAATTGCTTATTTAACATTTATTGTTTGTAGATAATGTAGTATATTTTTTTTAAATAGAAATGATCTTTTCAGTTTTTTTGTTTTGTTCTTTAATTCAATCGATTTCCCCGTTTATATTTTTGAGTTTTCCTAAGCACTTTTTAAATATTATTTGCTAAATTTGTTTATCCGTTGGTACCAGCAATTTTTGGTAATAAGTTGCTTCAAGCTGGAGTAGATTATATGTGAAGTTGGCTACTAGCAATCTTATTTGAAAAATGACATTTAAAAAATCAACATAAATAAACCGCTTTATTATAATATTATATTTTGTAAAATTACACAAAGAAATGTGTCATTAAAAATAAGTAAACGTGAACAAAACTTTCCAGCGGCTTATTTATTTCCAGCGGTTTATTTATTTTTTCTGCATTAAGTTAAAGTTTTCAAGCTAAAAAGATGAATGCTTTTTTTTTTTAACTTAAAGACAAATATTTAAAAATATTTTTGTTAACTGTCTATTTAAACCAAATAAATTGCAACATAAAACCATGTTTTTTTATAAATGGTTTATTTACATAAGTTTGTCTGAATTTATGGCTTTTATGTAAAAACTACCTATTTTTACAGGTATAAACATGTCTAAAAAATTAAACTTAAAGATTAAATTATTTACGTTTCATTATATATGAAAATACGCGGTAAAATGTTTTACAATACTCGTTTGAAAAATTTATTAATTGTAACTCTCTAGTTTATGTTTCATAATAAGTTGTATGTAAAAAAATTTAAATTAAAATAAGAAAGAATCGGGGAGACTTGCAACTTTCAAATTTTGCATATAGTAGTTTATGGTCTCGTAAAGGTACTCACGCTTGAAGCAATTGATTTTTCTGAAGAAAAAAATTAAATCGCTGGCGCCTAATCCGCAGTGAGTAATATTTATCGGGAGGAAATTAAATCTATTTTCTGAAATTTTTTATGATCTTTGTACGTGAGAGCAGTTTCCTCTAAGTTTGTCTTTGTATAAGAATAAAGGCAGTTTTTATTAAGATTTTTAATTACTGCGATGGAGTGTAATTTGTTTCAAATTAGTTATTTAAAGAAAAATATTTTTTCTCAGAGCATAGACATTATAAATCTAAATGAATATAGCTCTAAATAAAGTTATGGCTCTAAATAAACGCGGTTAAACGCGGGTTCTTTAGTTTAAGAAATAAAAAGTTATTATTCGTGCTGTAGAAAAAAAGAAATAAAAGTAAAAAACGTGAGGGTTTTATAAAAAATATTAATGAAAATATAATTTCTTTTGAAGAAAATTTATATACTTTTCAATACACATCTACAGCCGTCATCGGAATGTTAGTATGGCAAAAACAATTTCAAAAACAAACTAAGCGAACATATTTTTTAGCCACTCCCTTTAATCCGTAAAAAAACGAGTTATAAACGAAACGAGTCTTATTAAAATCCTGATCTTAACATAGAGGTTATTTTATTGAAATATATAGATAGATAAATAGATAATAATAAATAAGTAAATACATAGATCTTAACATAGAGGTTATTTTATTGAAAACCATACTCTAAGGGTCAAGCCTGACCCTAAGGTTATGGTTTGATTTATTCTAATTGTGTTTAAAGGGTTTAAAGTTACAACTTATTGAATAGTCTTAGTTCAATTTCTAATAAAATGTCTATTCAACCGTTTGAACTTAAAAAAAAAATTATATTAGCAGTAAATTAAGAAAATTGACTTACGGTAGTTTTGAAAACCTTTTATTAAATGTCAACTCAGGGGCATCTTTAGCTCTATCAGTTCTGACTTAAGGAGGTAGGGGTGTATATTCCTAGATATTGCAGTTTTAGGGTTATACCTAAAAACCTAAAAGTTCGGCACGGCCGAACCCGGCCCGTCCCAAAAACCTAAAACCCGGCCAGGATAAAAAAAGTTTTTTTTTAATATATAAACAAATGAACTAATATAATTATAATACCAAGCTCACAAGTAATAAAAGTATTTATAGTTTGAAATTTTTTTTACAAAACAAAACAAAACTACAAACAACATAAACCGGTAACATCATTTATTTGTTCAAATGCATTTGCTTCATGAAAATGTCGTGTAAGAAGATTGACACGGCCCGCAGGCATTATGACACCAACGATTGCACAGATTGCATTGTGACCATTTTAAACAAACAACACGGGGTTTAACACAAAACTGATTGTCACATATATCTTCGTTATTAACGTTAGCGCACATGAGGTGTACAAGTCTAGCACGAATGTATCGACGGTTTAAAGCTACAGCTTTCTGATCTACAATGTCTACAACTATTTCTTTTTTATTTTATTTTTTATTAAGCCAATCAAGGTTTTTTTTGGTCATCGTTGAGCCAAAAAAAAGGTTAAAAATAAATTTTAGATTGCACTTTTAGCCTTTCCATTACCATATTAAGAATGTAAGCAGGTAAGAATGGATTACAGCTTTATTTAACCACTCATCTAAACTTAGTGTTGCTAAGTCTTCACTGTTAATTGTGCAACTACCAATAACAAATTTTTTTGGGGGTAACAACCCAGCAACTCGCAATTCAACGTTCAAGTATTCCGTTTTTTTTTATATATGTGATTCGATTGCGTTAAATTCTTCATAGTAGCAATCACTTTTTTTGCATTTTGTCATTGTCACTCACGGCATCAGGAGCCACAATGACACCTCAATCTCCAATTATAAAGAATGGCTGAGCGTGAACTCTGTTTTAACCAAAAAAAATTTCCTTCCCTTATAAGTTTCAGTACTTTTTAGATGAAACAACTAAAATGATTTTTCAAGTTTTGTATAAAATCCACACATCTACTTATTGGTTTCAGTAATTATCTCATTGCTTCCTATAAAAACCGTACAACTTAATAATATACTTTATAATACTTTATACTCTAAATAACTTTTTTGTAAAAATAAAAAATTTACATTTTTTGCTTACATTTAAATATTATTTTATTATATTATTTTTTATTTTCAAACTTTATTGTATTATTTTATATATATATATATATATATATATATATATATATATATATATATATATATATATATATATATATATATATATTTATATATATATATATATATATATATATATATACAAAACTCTTAACCAATAAAAAGGTAAACAAATGTATTTCTTTTTCAAAACCAAAGATTTTCAGAAAAATAAAGAAAAGTCGGCTTAAAGGCTTGGTCGGGCCGGGTTTTAGGCATAACCCAGTTTTAGGGGCACCATTTTTTTCAGAAGAACTTTTCTTATTTCTCTCATATGATAATATGTAAGTTTAAGGTTTAAAATAGCTTCAGGCTCCAAAATTTCTTAATCACTAACCACTTTTTGTGTTTCTGTATATTTCTTTAAATCGATTTAATAATTAGAATTATCGACGCAATCGAAAAGTAAGAAAAATCAATATAACAATGTTTATCTTTAAAACACCCTTTCCGAGACATTTAGTCTCAACAAAGTAATCAATAAATCTCAATGTCAATTTTATTTAGCATTATACTAGTTTATAAAATTTAGCTATCATTTAGATAAGTCTCGCATATTTATTACCATTATTGAACCCACTTTGCTAGTTGAATTGATTTAAAGAAGAAAAAAATTTGATAACCCAATAATCAGTATCTTTATAACAGCCTTAACTGTCATGTTTTATCAAAGTATTATATCATAAAATATAATGTTATAACATAAATTATAGTAAAATTTTTATTAAACTTCACATTCAAAAAACAAAGATAAAAAAATAGTAATATTAGTTAAACCGTGTGTGAACAAGCGAGTTGAAAGTTAATTTGACAGCTTTCGATACAATAATTTGTTATACCATAATTAAATCTTTAAATTAAAATAGAGTTTTTAATATTTTTGATGTTAAAAATTTCTTTCAATTTGTTCATAAACTGTTTACATTTGTTGACAAGACAACTTCCAATGGCAATGTGTTCCATAAGTTTGTTGTTCTGTTTATAATGAATTCATGTCGCGGTATAAACTTGGTATATTCTTTGCTGTATTTCTTATCGTGGCCTCATGATGTATGATTTTGAAAATGTTGTTTTTTTTAAAAGTTTTACTTTATCAATCTTATTGAAATTTTTAAATATTTGAATAAGATTTTCTCTTTGCCTTTTTTCTGACAATATTTTAAATAAAGTGTCTGTAAAAGGTCTTGGTACTGCAGGCTTCTTATGTTTTTTACCGCTCTTGTCATTCTGTGCTGTACTTTTTCTATTATTTTAATGTCACCTTTGTAGTTGGTGACCAACCTGGTGCTGCAAACTCAATCAGAGGTCAAACGAAAGTTGTGCATAGTTGATTGACAAGATTTTGTTCTAGATAGACAAACAAATTTTGTGCATGATTGTTTGACAAAATGCTGCTCTAGATTGACAAAAAAAAGTTGTGCATAATTGTTTGACAAGATGTTGTTCTAGATTGACAGAAAAAAGTTGTGCATAATTGTTTGACAAGATGTTGTTCTAGATAGACAAAGGTGTTTTAATAATCTCCAGTATTGCTTTTAATGAATATGCACACCAAGATCACGCTCATTCGTTGAATTGTTGATTTCTGATCCATTTACAGTGTAATTGAATTTTATATTGTTTTTACCATATTCCATAACCACATATTTACTGAATTTTATAAAGAGTAAACAAAAGTAAACCAACATATAAATTAAAAAGTTAAAAGTATAAGAACAATAAATAAAATGGGACGACTGAAAAAGCGCGAGTTTCATAAGTGCGAACAGGCATAAGTGCGCCGAATAAAATTGCATATATTGGCATAAGTGGAAATTGTTATTTCGCTCTTATGCCAATTCGCACATATGCCAGTTTACACTTATGCCAATGTTTGCAAATTTATACGGCGCACTTATGCCAGTTCGCACTTATTCCAATTCGCGCTTAATCAGCCGCCCATTCTAATGGTGTGGCGCTTGATAAGTAATACATAATTGAATAAAGTTTGTTTGACAAGAAGGTTCATTAAAAAAGTTATTATTTCTCAAAATATACCCACTGATTGGTTTAAAAGTAAAAAGATCTTTGAAAACGTCTAGGGATAAGTTATTTATCCATATATATATACAAAACATAAAATATTAAATACATTTAACCTGTATATATTTAGAATTTTAGTTTCAATAAAATAATGCTTCGAATGAGAAAAGCGATTTGTAAAATTGATTATATGAATTGCGGGTTTCTGACGTAGAGAAAGATGTTGCAGCTTTTTTTTTGTACTCCCCCAAGCAATATTAGCATAACTCAGATAGTTATGTATAAATGAATGATAAAGTTGGATTAAGGCTTTCTTATTGAGGTAGATTAGTGATTTATATTCGTTATTTATATTATTTCTTTTTATTCCTTTTTGATCGATAAAGATTTGAGGTAATTTTGGTGGGAGAAATTGCTTTTTTGTAATCGAATGGAATTAAAACCATTTTGTTTTATTAGCATTTAAGACTAACTTATTACACTTTAACCAATTAGATACATGTCTGAATTTTTCGTTCACTGTTTTAAAAAGTTCAGCAATGTCTTAGTTAGAAAATAATAAGTTTGTATCATCTGCATACATAATGCTCGTTAGTTTTGAGGCTTTGTTTATTTTAAATCATTTATGTATGCAGTTTAGCAATTATTATTTGCTTCTATAAAATTATTATTTGCTTCTATAAAATTATTGTTTGCTTCTTTAAAATTATTATTTACTTCTTTAAAATTATTATTTGCTTCTTTAAAATTATTATTTGCTTCTTTAAGATTATTATTTACTTCTACAAAATTATTATTTACTTCTTTAAAATTATTATTTGCTTCTTTAAAATTATTATTTGCTTCTTTAAAATTATTATTTGCTTCTTTAAAATTATTATTTGCTTCTTTAAAATTATTATTTGTTTCTACAAAATTATTATTTGCTTCTACAAAATTATAAAAATGTTTCATTTTTTTGGTTAAAAAAAGGTTCACATATTCTCTTTTAATATTTCTTCTGTGGAACTGAATAGTATAAGTTAATATAATAGCAAAACTGTCTATTCTACATTAAGTAATTCAAGTAATTTTTTACTTTATTAAGGGTTATTTCAATATTACGCGTTGATAATACTATGCTTTATTATTTTTTCTTACATTTTTGATAAAATTAAAATGGTATTCCACAATTCTTTACTCTATTAATAAAAAAAATCAATTCTTGCTAAAACTTATCAACATCATCATTTTACCAATAAATGGCAATGGTAAATTAATTTTAGCTAATTACCTGTAAAATTCACCAGTAAATTTTTTTCTTTTTTTGTAGTTTAGTTATTAAGGTGCTCCAAGAATATTGATCAGTCTTATCACCGAGCACCATGGAGGAGCATTTGACCAGGTAGTTTACAGCTTCTTCCTTACCAATGTTGGTTATTGTGTTAGAGCCAGCGTTGGATCTAGAACCTCTTGGTTCTAAGCCTCAATTTCAAAACCTTAAAAGACCTTGATCACCATACCTTGAGAGTAATTTCCCAGTAGACAAAGCGACGTTGAAACAATGTCTGATTTATGTCAGGGTTGACGTTGGATTGATGTTGGATTATCTTTAGAAATGGACGACGTCGAATAAAAAGAATGTATGTCCAACGTGTTTTTATCAAAAAAAAAGTAACTTATGTAAAACTCAAACCCGGAATTCACTGCATGTTAACTTTACGCGCTATCATTAAGCTACACGCATATACTGCTAATGGGTAATTTAATCTAACATATTTACTTTTAGTAGCAATAGCCAATGATAAATCTTAATTATTTTTTTTTTGTTGTTTAGGTACCCCAAGAAGACTTAATGGTCTTGTTACAGAGCACCGCGGAAGTGTATTTAACCAAGAAGTTCACGCCTCCTTCCTTACCGTGACGTGAAAATATGTCCAAAGCTCGTTTCGAACTTGGATCTCTTGCTTATAAAGCAAGCGCTCTAACCACTGCGCCACGGCCGCACAATTTTGTTTAGCTGATGGATTTGATATCCCTAATAATAATTTAACATTATATTTACTAGGATTATATTATGATTATTATCTTTATCATTTATGACGTTGTTCTGACGTCGTTAAATTGACGTTGTTCCAACGTCATACAATTGACGTCACTTCAACGTCGCTAAACGTCAAAAGACGTTGAAAGGCGTCAATAAAATAACATCGTTTTAACATCATTATATAGACGTTCATTATATTTTCATCAACGTCCTAATGCGTCTTTGATGAAAATTTAACTTAAACCTGACGTCAGATAGACATCGAGTACCTTTTGGGAAGAAAAGACTTTAAAAGCTTAAAATTAACTTTAAGTTTAAAATAAGATTAAATTGTTATATATACAAAAAGATTATGAGGAATATATCACCGATATATATTTTGGATTCATCTTCATGTGCTTTTATTTTTGTTTTTAGTTACATTTAATCAAACTTTTTACGAACGGTCTTTTAAGCAATTTTTAACTAATTTAAAAATTGAAGTAGCGAGTTTCAAAAAATTAAAAACTAAGAAATAACTAATATATTTTTGAAATAAAATAATTACAATTCATAAAATGTTTTTGCTTATTACTTTATACTTGGGCTTGGCAAGCAGTTGCGGTGAAAACCGCAACCGCTTAACCGGCTTTTTGTTCAATTTTCTCAAAACCGAAAACTGTTTTTTTTTTAAATAAAACCGGTCTTTATTATACATTACTAAATAGATAAATGATTTAAAATTTTCTTGTTTTAAAAAGATAACAAGTAACGTAGAGAATGCTAACAAGTAACGCGGAAAGCTAAAAAGTAATGAAAACACAAATATTGTGAAAACATTGCATTTAATTTTTATTTGTTTCAATATTTTTTTACCGATTATTAATAGATTGCATACTGACAGAATCTAGTTTTTACCAATTATTAATATTTTTTAAAAAGACTTTTATGTTATTATATATCACGACTATCATTAAAAACTGAAAAAAAAAATTAAACAACAAAAATATAATTTTTGTAAACAAATTTGTAAAAAATATTTTTGTAAACAAATTTGTTTTTGTAATTTTTACTTTTGTATTAATTTAAATGTAGTATATTTTTACATTACACATTGTAAACAGATCACATGCGTAATTTTTAGTTAAATGTAGTATATTCAGTTATGAAGAGTATTACAAAAAAAAAAAAGAAAAAAGGTTATTGAGTTGCCACAAAAAAAGGTTAAAAAAGAAAAAAGAGACTTAAAAAAAAAAATGATTCAAGTTAATTAGATTCGAATTAAATTAATAAAGAATAAAAAAATATGTAAATATTACTAGTAGTATAGTACATTGATAAAAATTAATAGTTAATGAAAAAAATTAAACTTTTTATTATAAGTATGAAAAACTTTCATAGGTATGAAAAAATTACTTTTAGTTTACAGATCTAATTCTAATCCTGCAGTCAATCAATCCTGCTGTCAATCAATCCTGCAGTCAATCAACCCTGCAGTCAATCAATCCTGCAGTCAATCAATCCTGCAGTCAATCAATCCTGCAGTCAATCAATCCTGCAGTCAATCAATCCTGCAGTCAATCAATCCTGCAGTCAATCAATCCTGCAGTCAATCAATCCTGCAGTCAATCAATCCTGCAGTCAATCAATCCTGCAGTCAATCAATCCTGCAGTCAATCAATCCTGCAGTCAATCAATCCTGCAGTCAATCAATCCTGCTGTCAATCAATCCTGCAGTCAATCAATCCTGCAGTCAATCAATCCTGCAGTCAATCAATCCTGCAGTCAATCAATCCTGCAGTCAATCAATCCTGCAGTCAATCAATCCTGCAGTCAATCAATCCTGCAGTCAATCAATCCTGCAGTCAATCAATCCTGCTGTCAATCAATCCTGCAGTCAATCAATCCTGCAGTCAATCAATCCTGCAGTCAATCAATCCTGCTGTCAATCAATCCTGCAGTCAATCAATCCTGCTGTCAATCAATCCTGCAGTCAATCAATCCTGCAGTCAATCAATCCTGCAGTCAATCAATCCTGCAGTCAATCAATCCTGCAGTCAATCAATCCTGCAGTCAATCAATCCTGCAGTCAATCAATCCTGCTGTCAATCAATCCTGCAGTCAATCAATCCTGTAGTCAATCAATCCTGCAGTCAATCAATCCTGCAGTCAATCAATCCTGCAGTATATCAATCCTGCAGTATATCAATTCTGCAGGTTACGTTTGATTTATACAGCAATAATAGAAATTCGCTTTTATAATAAAAAACCGGTGTAAAGCCGGTTATCCGGTTTTACAATTTAAAAAAACCTAAAACCGATTTCTTGAAATTTTCCGGTTTTTGCCAAGCCCTACTTTATACTCGTCAGTTACTTTCAACTAATTTACTTATGCTTTGTGCGTTAGAAAGATGACATTAAATTTTCCATTCATATTTTAGTTATATGCTGTGATGACTTTTGTCGTTTTTTTTGTTTTTTTTTTAATAATATGCTTAGTAACTTTTTTTAGTTTACTTCATACCATATATTTTACTTCCATAGTTTTTGTATAACTTTCGTAGTTCAAAATCTATTAAAGTAATTACAAGTAATTGTTTTAGATAAATTACAAGTAATTGTTTTAGATTATAGATGCTGTATAAATTAAAAGCTATAAACGTGAAAGAACACGCAATAAGTTTTCAAAAATGTCAGGAACGCGATTTATGACTTTCTATCATTGAGATCTGTGTTTTAATTGCGCTAACAATTTCAGGAATGTTGTTTAAAATTTTGTTTCCTTCATCGTCGACCATTTTAGAGATAATTCGACAAATCTATAAAATGTAATGGTAGAAAATAAATTAGCAATTTTTAAAAACCAACTAATAAAAAGTCAATAATTAAAATTTTTTGGAATAGGATTTATTTTATTAGAAATTATGTAAAAACTTACTTCATCAGAAATACTGCTCTTTACTTCATTAGCTATTATGTCTGCAAATAAGTTGTACAACCAACTGGAAATAAATGTTTTTAATTGTTTATGAATCGTTTTTAATGAAAATCATAATGTTGTTTTACTTTCCAGAGTATATGCCGTACCTTGCCCCACCGTTGAACTTGAGGTTAACATCATTAATTTTCAATGAACATTTTCGAACTTCTATTTTTGGATGAGTTTCATTTTGCGAATCTGTAAAAAAAAATTCTTACTAATGATTTGTTAGCAAAAAAAATCTGCGAACGATTTTTTTTTAAAGAAGTTTAAGGAGTAGTAAAAAAATACAAATTTTAAACAAATTTAAATGAAAAGATCATCTAAATAAAGAAATTTGGTTTCAAATTTGTTTTTTGTTCAAATTATTAATGAATGCAACATTGTATAATTAAAAAAGGAAGGGCGGGATCAGTGGCGTCGCTAGGGGGTGCGGGGGTGTGGGCTGCAACGGGTGAAACCATCACAGCTTGATACAGAGGGGTGACACCAAAATGAAAAAAAAATCAATTTTTGTGAGAGGAAACAAGTTGTTGCTACTCAGTAGTCACAATTGTAAATTTTTCATTTTGGTGTCAGCTTTGTCTCAGACAGTAGAGTTTGCCGAGCTCAGCCCGATCTAGTCGGAAATGTCGTGTTTCATAACAGTTCATTTTTATATACAGGAGAAGGCGCATGGTGACTTTAAGGGATTAACCGATTCTCGGAATCGGATTATGCCGATTATGACCATATATATTTTATATATATGGTCATAACTTATATATAACCTATATATGGTCATAACCTATATATAACCTATATATGGTCATAAATCATATATATTTTATATATATGATTATGACCATATATATTTTAATACATATGGTCTAGTATAGAAACTCAAGTTTTAGTTATAGGGAAACTCTGAAGAGATCCATAGTGAAAGTCTAGAGGGGTGACACCCTAAGTTCACCGCACTGGGTGATCCCAACTTCAATGTCACCACTGGGCCGGATGTGTGGGTGAGATGGAGGGTGAGGGGAGTTTTGTGGTGGTTCAAAGTTACCTCAAAATTTTTTTTTAGTCTAGAAAAGAAGCTTATAAGGTGCAAAGATCTTTGATTTATAAACAAATTTTTTTTTTTTAATTAAAAAAGTTTCAGGGTGGCACACCGGGTTTCTTGGAAGACTTTGTTTATATTTTGACCGCATCTGTGCCATCCATAATCAATAATGAAATCAAGAAAAAATATCTTTCTATCTTCAAATAATCTAAATCAAAAACTAACTAGACACTTTACTGCAAAGGTTTGCCTTTAAAAAAGAAAAATTGATGAAAAAGTTGAAATGCATGCAAAAGAAAAATTGATGAAAAAGTTGAAATGCACGTAAAAATAACTTTATATCTTCTACGATGGTGATCAAGAATTACAATGATAATTAAGATTTATGATCGTGATTTTTTTTTTTTTTTTTATTGTTTTGACTCAAGTTTTAGTTTAAAAAACTTAAATATAAAATATTTAAGTTTTATAAAGTCATGACGTTGTTAAATTTGATTCCCCCTCCCCTCCCACTTCAAAACCCGTGACGTCGGCTCTGAAACTAGTGTCTTCACAAGTTATAAACAAAAACTTAAGTAAAAAGATTTTTCATTGTTAAAAGACAAATTTTTGTAATAGAGTTTCTAGTTATATTTTTATATTTATATCTTCTTTTTATATTTTATTTAGTTAAGATTAACAATACAGAGAATTTTTTGATTTTTTGTTTATGGCTAGCACAAAGAGGTAAAAAAATGACCGAAGTCTCTCATGTGAACTCCATGTACCACCTATAAACTAAAATAAAAAGAAAAAAATTTCATATATAAAACAAGGGTTAGCGTCACTTTGTAAGCTTCTACTCTGGATTTCAAAACGTTTCGGACTAATTTTAAATCACCCTAATGTAGATTTGTTTCTTATCAAATTAAAACTAGTTTTTAGCAAGTTGTACTAACTAATGTACTTTGAACAGTTTTTAAGTTTCATAGAATTACGGTTTTTTACGCATTTAAAATTTTTTTTTTACTTTATATTGCATTTATTACACAACTTTTTGAAATAGCTTTTTACTACTCATAGTAAAAAAACAATTCACATAAATTAACACAAATTACCTAAATCCAAAGAAACATCAAGGTTAATATTTTTCATTGTTAAAGTAACAGTACCACTATCTTTGATGTGTGGCCTAAATGCATGCAGTTTTATAAAAAATATACAAATTTTTGTTTAATAATAAGTAAATTTATACAACTTACATGTATAAATATACATGCATATAAATAAATATACATGCCGATTAAATTGATTTAAAACTGATAAAGCAAAACTACCAACATAAGCTGATAAACTTACCAATTATCTTCTTTGTATTTCCAATTGGAATTTACGTCAAGTTCGGCATTTTCACACTGGACGGTCAAACCAGATTCTGCACTTACAGTTAAATTTGACTTTGGTATTAAAACATTTTTAATTGCGATACTAAATATAGAAAAAAAGAAATTTGTTGAATTTAAAAACTTTGACTCATATCTTTGTATTAGATTTAACTCTTAATTTTGTAATAGATTTAATTTACCTTTAAAATTTACCCTTAAAATTTTATTTATATATTTAAAATTAAAAGTAACCGAATAATGGGTTTTATTTGTACAAACTAATTCGAGCTTTTTGTTTCAAGTATTTTTAAGTATAATTTAACTAATTTAAGATTACAGAAATAAAAAAAAAAGACATAAGTTAAACAAGATAATGATAGAAAAAACTCCAAAAAATTATAAATATTTGTATGAATTTACTGATAAATTTAAGCCATTAACAGTCACAGTTAGTAAAGTAAATTAATCTACTTTTTTTTTCTTTTAATTTGCTTTAATTTTATTAATGTTTTAAACTTAAAGTAACTTAAAAACAGGTAAAAGATTAAAACTTATATATTATAATTAAAACTACTCATATATTGTAATAAAAGTACAAATTATCAAATATATATAGCATTATATAAAAAACAGATATATATATATATATATATGCACACAATTATATATATATATATATATATATATATATATATATATATATATATATATATATATATATATATATATATATATATATATATATATATATATATATATATATATATATATATATATATATATATATATATATATTCATAAAAACGTATACTATAACACAAATTGTTTATATTACAACTTTTTATGTTTTAAATAAATATAGGCGCATGGGTGTTTTGTATGAGCGTATTTGGTATAAACAATATTGGTTTTAAAATTAAAATCTGTGATTCATTTTTCAAAATATGCTTGGTGTCTGTTTTGTATAGATGCATTTATTTTTGTTTTTTTTAAATCCTACAGCAAGTTAGGTTTTTATTTAAAGTAGAATAGTTTAATTTTATTATTTTCATAGGATTTAAGTTTTTATAAAACATTATTTTAAAATGACAAATTGAAAATATTTTTTACATAACACTGGTGTTTAACTCATTTATGTCCAGAAATAGTTACCAGGAATCTCAGCAACACTTATTTCTGGCAAAACAAAAAGTTTATTGAAGAATGTTTTTCCTAACTTTTAATTTTTTTGGGTCTTTGTTAAGTATTAAATATAAAAAGTTTTCAAAAAAATATCATCTTAATTATATGAATCAATTAATTTTTGAAATAATGGCAAGTAATAACAAAGTATTATTTCCTTAACTGCTAGTAATGTTTGCAAAGTGCTAGCTTGCACTTTGCAATACATTACTAGCTCTAAGTAATAATATTTGCTGTGGCTGGAAAACCACTGAACCTCTCACACTATAAAAGCGTGATTCTCCAATTGCTCTAACTTCTCTAATTGTTTGAACATGTTCATGATTTTTGTATGACTGTCTTCTTTTGTAAGATTGTTCCATATGCTAATCTGTTAATTAAGAAATTGTGTCTTGGATCGCATCTTGCTTTTTCTCTTAAATATATTATTTCTTTTTTTGTGTGTTCTTCTGCCAGATAGTAAAAATTGGTTTGTTTATTAGTTTTACTTTTTCATAGTCATTAAAATTGTTAAACAGTTGTATTCAATCTCCTCTTTTTATTATGTTTAGTTTTTTTTTATCTTATTTCATATGACGTCTTTTTGAATGCTGGTAATAGTCCTGTCTTGATGTATTCTTTCTACTTCTTCAATTTTTTGGAATGGTTCACCTATATCAAAAACCATTTTTCAAGTTCAAAAATGGTTTTTCATACAGGAGCCGCAAATTCTATAACCGATCTGATGAACAATATATAAAGTGTTCTAAGGATTTTTACGTCGTAATACCCAGTGGGCAAGCATCGTCCGGAGGACGTCCGCTGGACGTCTCACGGACGTCCCCCGGACGACGCATGCCCACTGAGTAACTCAAAGTCTTACTAAATTATAGCGTTTACCACTTATACCAAAAGTTATATCAATTATAGCTTTTATACCAAAAGTTATATAACCAGCGTTGGTTAAAGATCTTGAAAAAATAACGGCCATACATAATACAAACAGTATCAAAAAAGTTGACGCTTTTTATAACAAACTTGCCAAAAAAATAAAAACGTTTAAAAAAAATGCGAACCACTCTATTATTTATATATTTATTAATAGATAAACTAGACCCGTTTATTAATTACAACGTTTATTTAAACTTGTGTTTGTATGTTTGTCCGTCCGGTTAGAATCTTTGAAACTATATTTAACTCACTTCCCGACTAGCTAGAGCACTGAAACTTTCAGGATAGCTCAGAACCCGATGACAATGCAATTTAAAACTATTTTCAAGCTTCGGCAGTCAAAGTTCTCTCAATTTTAAAAAAATAAAATTTTATATGCAGAAAAAATAAAAACGACTTTAGTGAGCACTTAAAAAAAAATTTGTAACGGACAAAAAATATTTCAAATAATTCAGTACACGTATTGAACAAAAATTTAGTAAACAAATATATGTTAAATAGTGTTAAAATTGCACTATGGTTTCTGAGACACGATTGGCAGAAACCCATTTTTTTTTTATTATTAAAAAACATTTTTTTATGCGATATCTTTAAGTAAACTCTTGAAAGTAATAATAAACGTGGTCTATTTTTAAATTAATTTGTTTGTAATATGCACTCAAGTTGAGAATATTTTTATGGCTTGTGTTTATTTTATTGGCTTGTGTTTATTATTATTTATGTGCTAAAAATAATTATTGCAATAAAAACTGAGTTTAAGAGATCGCAAAGTGAATAAAATGTAATTTAATTTAATAAAAAAACATGTTAAGGATATTAATATCAAAGGTGGAAGTGAATGAAATTTAGAAATAAGTAAAATGTTCTATATTGTATTTCGTTTCAAAGATTCTAACCAAACAAATCTAAAAAGTGAAAAAAATTCTACAATAAAAAAAAAATGAATTTTTCTAAAAACGAACTAAAAAGTAGAAAATAATTTTTTTTTGAGCTTGTCAGAATGTCTGATTATATTCCTCTTATAATGATGACTGACTTTATAACAAATTTGATACACGTAAAACGAAAAACGTCGGGCGCATGTTATTTTTTTTCTACTTTTTAGTTCGCTTGAAAAACGTTGTTTTTAGAAAAATTCATTTTTTATTGTAGATTATTACTAACACAAAACGATAATGGATGGAAACGAGGCTTTGTTAATGATTTCAATGTGAAGTTTAATTACAATACAAGTTCACTACAAAATCAAATCAAATGTATTCTGAAATGGATTTTCATTTTGCAATAGATATATTTCATTTTAGGAAATATTATATATACAAGTACAAATTTTAATTAGTACTTGTACTGTGTGATCGAAAACAATACAATATTTAAACAGAAAATTGTATTTAATAATGAATAAATAAAAATACAGCAACAACAGTTAAATAATTATAAGTTATAAAAATATATAATAAATAACAATAATAGTAAACTTTTTAATGAATGTAAAAGATATAATAATAACGAAAACAATAATAACAATAATAGCAATAATGATAATAACAGCAACAGTAATTATGATAATGTTATTATTAACAATTGTGATGTTGGTTACACTAATAAGTTTAAAAAAAGAATACTAATATAGAGAAGAATATTAATTAAAAAATATGAGGTTTTGATAAAAAATTGTGTTGATTGGAGCTTGGGAACTAAAATACCCGAAAAAGTACCCCATCACCCCAAATGTAGGGACACTGAACTATAAAAAAAATACATATTTTTTTACTATATTATACTAAATTTAATTATACGGACATGCTTTTAATTTTATTTTTTAATATTTTAAAATTCAAAAGTAATGACCATGCGAAACTTCAACCTTCTCATTTTGGAGAGGGTAGAAACTTTATACGTTCATAACTTTTATAAAACCTTAAAATATTCTTTAATGAAATTTAAAACCTTTCGATAAAATTAAATTTAATATATAATAGTTTCATCACCTATTGCTTTTATAAGACCCCACCCTAAAACCTTTGTGTATCACTAACCTAAAACCCGTTTGTATGACTCCACCTCAAACGTATACATTCGGGATGAGGTGGATAAACCTTTTAAAGTATTTTACTTCGCAAGCTCCAATAACCACAATTTGTTTGTAAAACCACATTTTACATAACAATGAACATACATAAGTTTGAAATTTGCACAATGCATTAAAGTTTTATACCTGAAACATCAAAAACTTCTTCCTACGCCACTGGCTAAAATAGATTTTGATACTATCCTAATGTGGATTAAATCAATTTAAAAAAGCAAAGGCAAAAGTACTGATGAACACCACACTGTATTTAAAACGGATTGACGAGTTTAGAATCTCCATAATATAAAGATTATACATTTTTATCTAAATAGTTTTTTACTCACTTGTTTAATCTACCGCTTCTTGCATGTTAAGTTTTGATAATAATATTTTGTGACCAACTGTATATCTATGCATTGCAAGAGTAGCTTTTGTATAGCATAAAACCTTCTTAAATATGTTTTTTCTTGAAACTTAATTTGTTTTGAAAACTATTTAACACCACTCTAACAATGATATGCTAAATATACATATTTATAATTTACATATACATATGTATAATTAATATATACCTACGTGCATATATTAAAACTTGTCTAAACTTGTACCTCGTAATTTCGTATGATATGCTGCCTACTGGTGTTTTAGCTGTTCCTTTCACATCTGGAATTGAAAGCGAAAGCAACTCTTTTTCAATAAAAGGAACTCCAAGTTTTCGAACTAAATATTTAATGAACAGTTTATAACATAAAAAATAACCGGAAAATACTACACAATGAGCTTGACAAGTATTTTAACACGAACCATAATCCAACCCATTCTGCGTTGAGTTATTTAAAATATCGATAGGAAAACAGCTTGCCACAGAAAACCCAACTACACATATCCAAAAAATAGACATGTCATTTCATAATTTTACCACTTCGATATATGGAAACAGATACCTCAATTCAAATAACTAAACCCCTTTATTTTTTATGCACACAAAGTGTTGCATAGTTTGCATAACCAATCAAGCATAGATTGTTCAGGGACAAATGTAAAATATGCGCAATGTGAGTAGAACTTTTTTGAATTGCTGCTGCATTACATATAACTGCAGTGTTTTTGCCGCTACGGGGAATAAATTCTTTCCCAACAGAACGCGCTATAAATTCATTGAGCTATCTTTTAGAGTAATGCTCAATGTGTTTACAATAAGCATTATTTTTTAAGATGATATTTTCAAAACCAGAAGCTTTAGTTTAAATCTCATACTTCCTATTTTTTTGCTTTTATTTTTCTTCTATTTTACTTTATTTACTTTTCTAAATACTATGAGGAAGTAAACCAACATGAGCTGATAAATAAAAAAAATTGTTTTGTTGCTAAAAATGTTTTTCAGGTTTTATTACACTTAAGTTTAGTAGTTAATTATACTTTACTTTTTTACTTTTGTAGTTATATTTTATTATATATATATATATATATATATATATATATATATATATATATATATATATATATATATATATATATATATATATATATGTATATATAATATATATACTTGTTCCCGAGTTCATATATATTTTTTTTATTTGTTTGAAAAATAAAATATTTTGGGACTGCGTCAAGAGGTGAAAAATTAGGACTTTTTTTAAATCTATGTTATCAAAAGTAATTTTTTAATGATTAAGTAGAGTTCGTGTTCCTAGATCCGTGAAACTAAGATAACTGATATCATGGCATCTTTATACTAACTACTTTGTATTAATATATTGAATTAAATTGTAAAAGCCCGTCATGTAGAAGGACTTAAAAATTAGTGGCGCTAGATGCAATAAGTTTTCTTTTAATTGTACCTAGGGCCTCAAGTATTGAACCAACGATTAGTCTCTGAAAACTAGGTTTAAACTAAGTTTAAAGTTTCAAACTAGGTTTAATTCCATATTAAACAGACAACAAAGATAGAAACATAAATTTTATTAAAAATGTGTTATATCTTAGTTTGTTTTCATTTAGTGTTACTTGAAATTAAAAAACCATACACTGCAGTGGTTTAAAAGTTACCTGTATAATAGACAACAGTGTGTTATTACAGATGATAATTACACAGTAAATTATTAAAATTAACTTGTGGTGTTCCTCAAGGTTCGATTCTTGCTCCTCTTTTGTTCCTAATCTATATAAACGACCTTCCAAAAGTTTCTAGCAAACTTGAATTTATAATGTTTGCAGACGATACAAATTTATTTTACTCTTCGACAAACATCAAGGATCTGTATGATAATGTAAACATAGAACTCCAAAAATTAAATATATGGTTTAAAACAAATAAGTTATCGCTAAACATAGAAAAAACAAAATACACTTTATTTCACTCAAACCAACAAAGAAACACACTACCAAATATTCTACCCTCTCTAAAAATAGAAAATATAGTAATTGAGAGAACTCACGAAACTAAATTTTTAGGAGTTATAATTGATGAAAATTTATCTTGGAAAAGTCACATAAATGCTTTAAACACTAAAATATCAAAAAACATAGGTCTACTTTATAAAGCAAAACCTATGCTGTCGCAAAGTAATTTAAAACTTATATATTTCTCTTTTATACACAGCTACCTCATATATGCGAATATAGCTTGGGCGAGTACGCATATAACCAAATTGAAAACTTTATATCGACGTCAGAAACATGCTGTTAGACTTATCTACCATAAAGACAAATTTACACACACTGAACCCTTATTTAAAGAAATGAATGTGCTTAATATTTATCAAATTAATATTTACCAAAATATATTGTTTATGCTAAAATTTAAATTAGGTCAAGTACCAAACCATTTTTTAAATAACTTTTTTATAAATAACGTTAATAAATATAACACAAGAGAAAAAGGAAACTTTATTACACCTTTCAAAAAAACAAAACTTTCCCAGTTCTCAATTTCATATTGGGGTCCTTATTTATACAACAAACTAGTAACTAAAAATAAATCAATCTGCAATCTAGATTCAATTTGCAATCAAAATTTCTTGAAAAAAAAGATAAAAAATCTGATACTGAATCTAAACAGATACTCAGAATTCTATAAATTAAAATACATATATATCAACTACAAAGTGAACTGACTCGTTTATGTGTATTATCTAAATGAATCTTTTTTTTTTTCTCAAATTTCTCAAACAATATATCAAAATGTGTTTATTACACACAAAAAAAACACTTGATTTTTTCTGATCAAGTTTAGTTATTATGCTGCTAGTTATGTCTAATATTTTATACTGAGCTTATTTTGAGTTTATTTTTTATTATGAGCTAAGTTAAAGAATATATAAACATAGTTGTACTTAATATATAATTATATTTAACATAATCATAATAATATATCAAACACATCGTAAGGGCTTCGTGATAAGATCATTACGATCTTCTTGAAGTCCGGCCTGTAGTATTTAATTATAAATTTCACTATATATATTTTGACTCACGAGATTTGTAAATATTAATTTACGAAACTTGTAAATGTTATATGTACGGCAAATATATGAATAAAAAAAAAAAAAAAAAAAAAAAAAAATTAATAACATTTAAAAATGTTTAGTCTTAATGGTTCTGAGCAAAATTAACGAACAAGTTTTCGCGTAAATGGTAATCCCAAAACACCGCTGAAAAAAAAAAAACCGCTGAAAAAAACCGCTGAAAAAAAAAAAAAAAAAATAGCCTGCACCAATCGAAATTCAACAATTTACCTTGTGATTTAACAAATTGATTATCAGAGAAACACACATATGACTTTAGGTATAAGCAAACTATATGATTCTAGGTACAAGAATTAATGATAAAGAATTATAAGAATAAAAAATAAGAATTATGAAAAGCGTCATTTATTAACAAAACCCGGATAGTGAGGAAATTAATTGTACATTGCATTTAGTACTTGAATAACAAAAAATATAGTATACGGTAATCTATAGTAATGTATTTCCTCTAGGGCTATAAAAAATTATAAGATACCAGCAGCAAAACATTAGATCATCAAGTGTTTTCTGATTATAACTTGTCGTGGTAACGCTCTCTAAGAATCACAATAAAATTAAAGATTAAAAAAAATTAATAATTATTCACCCGACTGAGAAGCATAACTTAGAACTTTAGAGTTTTTGGATAAAGTAGCTTACCCCTGCGTTAAAGGATGCTCTAGGTACACAAACTACACCTATTTGCGTTTAAATGTTTTTAAAGTGGATTTCCGTAAATTTTAGTACACAATCCTTTTATTTAGAATACATCGCAAATTAAAAAACTTAAGGTATAAACTTTTTATTTGTTTCAGCTAACAAGACGACCAATTACTGAAATAACCAGGCGTTTAGGTACTGAAAATAATCAAATCTTTCAGCATATAAAATATTCATTTGTATAATTATAACTCTGTTTCGAATATGTGATTTTGAATGCTTGATTTTGCAGCTTACAGTTAATTAATTAGTATTGCAGCTTACAGTTAATTCCCGATAAGGGGTTGTCCATAAAACACGTATGCTTATAGGGGGAGGTCTTCAAAAAGAGTATGAAAGCGTCTAGGACGGGGAGAGAGGAGGAGGGGAGGTTTCAATTTAAAAGTACGTACATTGATTTTCTAATTTATCACCAGTTAATCAAAAGAAAGTTTAAAATTCTGACTAATGACCCTAGTTTGCTAATATAAAAAGATGTTTGGCATAGGGAGTAAAGGGTAAAGTTTCCCACAATGCACACACATGCATGGGGTCTGCAGGATTTTTTGATGTTCCAGATGGGACACTTTCACAGATTGTGCAAACTCCAAACTTAAATATATTTATATCTGACCAAATGATGAGGTTTTCCAAAAAACTAAAAAGGTGGAGGCCTGGGAGAAAAAAAGCCCAAAAACGTCTCTCCCCCCCAAAAAAAAAAGACGGGGTGTAAATTTTGTATGGTCATAACTTTTGTAATTTGCAATATTTTTCTACAAAATTTTAAATCTATCAATAAATTTAAATTTAGTTTTAGATGGTAAAGTTGAAATTTTACTACATTAGTGCCCTCACGATTGGGCAGGGGGAGGGCAACCTTTTTAGGGCTTTTTTGTTTTCAGGCTTCCGCCATCACAATTTTTTGAAAGGCCTTCTCTTATGGGATAGTTATACTTAAGTTTTAGAGCTTGCACAAATTTCACACATTTGGCATAGGCACATTTATTTTTGGAGCTTGTGCAAGCTCCAAATTTAAGTATACCTATGCCAAATGTGTGAAAGTATCTATCTAGAATATTAAAAATTCCTGCGGGCGCCCATGCACACATACCACCCCTTATATACTGGCCCTGAGCAAGGCGTATTTTTTTTTTTTTATGATATTTAGGTGCCTCAAGAAGACCTAACGGTCTTGTCAGATTACCACAGAAGTGCATTTAACCAGGAAGTTCACGCCTCCTTCCTTACCGTGACACGAAAATATGTAAAATATAAAAAATAATATCATTTTATTATTACAAACTTATTATCATTTATACAATTTCTTCTATATTTTCGAATTTTTAAGAATTATTAAATTTTTAAAAACTAAAATATCGGTTTGATTAAGTGTTTGATTAGTGTTTGTGGTTTACCTCGACAGGTGAGTCAATAATGACTCAAATAATAACTTTAACTCATAATAAAACACGGCTGTTTCAAACCGAGCTTAACGGCTTCTTGTTATTTTTTGAAAATAATGACTAAAAGGGTGTTACTAAAACTTCTATAACTTTTAAAATAATCAAGATAATTTTGTTTTGTAAAAAGAATAATAACACCAATAAAATGTTTCATCTTATGACATTTAATGCATTAGTAAAAAAATTTCTTTAAGTTTAAAAAAAACGCGACAAATGATGACGTTGGCTGAATTTAAGTAATTTGATGTTACTTTTTATCAAAAAAAATTAGAAAAATTTATTTCTGATAGTTAATCTCAAATATACCCATTGTTTGACT